GCGTTCAATAATGACATTACCATCAGACAAGCACACATATCCAATAAGAAAGCAAGAGTATATTTTGCCAAACTATAGATACAACAGAACTAGAAATGGGCCATTGTATTCTGGAATAAAAGTATACAACCACCTACCTTCCAATATGAAATCTTTAGGTAATTTGCGTTTCAAAAACCACCTGAAAAAATTATTGCATCAACATGTTTTTTACAATCTAGAGGAATTTTTTTCTCAACATTTAGAATGAAGTCACATTATTGTTATTAGTTTACACCGCACCTTTCACTTTCTCAATGCTGTATAAGCTGTACAGAATGTAAATACTATATGCTATTATTATTATTATGTATCAATGTAATTGCGATTCTGTGAGAAATAAATCTAATCTAATCTAATCTAAGTGGTTGTGGAACTCACAATCTAATGGTCAGTAGCTCTGTGAAACATTTATGATGAAAGTCCGGAAATAAACGAAATTGAATCAACATACAGGATGATATCGAAATAAGTAAATATTATTCATACCCTCAGAAAGCTCAATTCAATCATAGGTTCCATAATATACTTATAACTCCGCAACCCGCTTCCGCCTTCTATCCCCAATACATGAAGAAGAGAAAATCACAAATAATCTGGAAAATTGAAGATTTCGGTTTGAAACTGCAAGACAACTATATCTAAACTCGGTATTTCCATCAGCAATACTCTTTCATGGGAAAATCATGTCAAATCCATTGCGGAAGCCGCTTCTCAAAAACTCGGATATTTATTCCGTACGAAAATCACACCTCAACAGCTTCTCATGATCTATAAAGCACAGATACGGCCAGTTTTAGAATATTGTTCTCACACATGGGGTTCAGCACCCAAACATACGCTGATGCTGTTAGATTCCATCCATTCGTCTGGTGGGTGATGCCACACTCACTAATCCTTTGACCTCATCAGTTGAAGTTGAAGACCTTTCACTTTTCAATAGACGCTTTCGCGGAAAATGTTCGCTAACATTCCATCACTAGCTATACCAGTCAGACGAACTCGACAAGCCCAGTCAGCACATCTTTTCGTTGTCAAGCTTGAAATATGTCGAACAACACTTTACCAAAACTCATTCCTTCATAAAAAACAGCAAAGCTTTGGAATTATTTTGCAATGTGGACGTATTCCCAAGATCATATCTACCGGGTGATATGTATAATAATAATATTATAATACTAAATAGTTTTCAATAGATAATGTACAAGATAGACGCAGTTTAGCCAAAGGCTACTATTACACACAACCTGAAAAGTACAATTTGTACAGTATCAAAATATAAACGGCATTTATTTCATCAAGAGAGGCTATGAATAATAATTCACATAAGGAGAATTATTTTTGATGAGGGGGTACATAAGATAACAGAACATGATTGAAAATCATTTGAAAATAAAAAGTGCTAAATTATAAATTATGCAATACTAGGTATTAGAATCAATTTTGTGTATTCATGGTTTACCCCACTTTTCTTCTTTGTTTTTCTAGCTATATTTCTGAAAATCGGATCATCGAATATGCTCACTAGAGGACACTTCCTCACATTTTAGGAATGTTTTTTCATCTTCCTATTTTCCTGGAAATCACATCAACTTTAGATTTTAGAATAGAGCACCCTATAGTTCATTCCATAATTGGTTAGAGATTATTGTAACGAATTCAACCATACTGGGTTTGATTGGGTTATTTCAAATGATTACGAAGATATCCGTGTTCGAAGTTTCCGTATGATCAATGAGTGTGAGAGAGATAGAAGTACTGGATGGGTATTTTTTCCACATTCTCATCTCAAAATATGATACCTGAAGGTTTTTTTCATGAAAGTGGTACTCCAAATTCAAACCGATAGGGCAGGTTTTGAAAAAATTGCAATTTTCTTCATTGATCCATCTGCACCTCGATCGGCACTTTCAATTGGGTTTTTCTCAATACTCTAAAAACCACTCATACTGAAAATTCGAAACTTGATACACTGCATACTTTTTACGCCAAATTAAATCATGAGCTGACAATTTCAGAATTCTCATCACAAGTGTATCATACTGAAGGGATTAGGTTAGAACCACAGTTTTTGATGGCTTATTAGGAGGTTGATAATGGTTATTGGTGTGATAATTAATATTTTCTCGGAAATAATTAGTCCTATTAGAACTGAGAGTAGGAGTAACTTCAAGTCAAAAATGTTCAAGGATCTAATAAAACAAAAAGGAAAATGTTGAAAATGAATCCTCGTTAGGAAATAGGGTTGTTTTGACGCTGACGCGCAATAACTTCAGTATGATACGTCTCTGACAAAATTTCTGCTCACAATCCCATCTGGCGTTGAATGTTCATGCGGTGTACCAAATTTCAATGTTTCAGTGTAAGCGGTTTCGAACATAATCACTTATAATCCCCCTAGGGAATAAATTATTGCCTGGAAACATTTTGAATACATGAATATCTTGAGGATTATTCTATCTCTTCGTTCTCAAGAAAGCATTATGCTCTTGACGATCAGCTGTTAGGTCAATTAAGTTATGTTCAATTTTGTCTTGCTACTCTTGAGGTGAATTTAGCATAGACTTTTTCCTTAAGATACAACCAAACTGTGTAATCCATGTTAGATCAATAAATTCAACATTAGAAATAAATTGTTGTTTTTGGTTTTCAATAAATAGGTCATATACTTTCTCATAATACTTACTGTAATACATAGCTTTATACCAGCAACAGTTATTACTTGCAGCATTTTCAAATCAAAATATTTTGAAAACGGTAGTGTGTAGGTATCGAGTTTTACCAAGAGAACCTTATTGGTGTGAAATTGAATAATGATCAAGTTCATATCAAATTTGGATTGAAAAATCTATAACCTCAAAAAAATGTATGTTTAAATCTACTTGGTATGAACCAGCGTACAGGGTGATTCACCATAAATGTCCCCCCCTCTAGCTCATTTATTTTTCAACCGATTTGAAGATTCGAAAAATAATCTAAAATGATTTTTTAGAATTTTTTTCCCGTTGCATCAGAAAATACAGGGTGCTCGGAACAAACGATCTATAGAGTACTACTTGATTTCGTCAAATGGAACACCCTGTATTTCATTGTATTTTTAGATATTACCTGTCAGTTTCCAAAACAGATCCATACAAATGTTGCTGGTAGCTTCGGCATAAACGTGAGAAATGTGTGAAAAAACATTTTTTCAACACCTGTCGTTACGACATTTTCAGTGTTCTACACCCTATTAAAGGGGCCAGCTTTCTTGAAACACCCTGTATATGGTGTCGTCAAGAGATTGGACCTTTTTGTATATACCTGACGAGTAATTAATCTGCAACTTACTGCATCATCCATTCATGAAATATTACTAACTTACAGATATAGCTGACAATAGCTTAATAGTCAAAAGCGCTTTGGGATTTGAAAACGAATATGTTTCAACAAATTTCGTCATTTTATGATCTTTCACGTGTGTTTTGTTCACCGACGTATATATGGTAGGTTATGTGATTTTGAACAAAGCCAACCATATATACTATTATACAAAGTTGTAGGTACACTTTTCGAGATAAATTGTATCGAGCCAAAAACTGTTTTTATCACATGAGATCCCATTTCATGTTCAATGTCGATGATATACTCATTCAAATTTCTGATGAAAGGGAAGAAATCATATAAAATGTTTGAAAAATCGATGATATCTCAAAATCCGAAACACTTTGTGAAATAGTATATATACACTGTATATATACTGCGATTTCAACCCGCAACACCCTCCTAATTTGGAATCCGTCGACGGATCTTCAAAAACAAAAAGTCCATAATATAGTACAACAAGCTTTATTCGAAAATAGGATACGGATTTTCAAGGCCTACTTTTGATTGTTGAAAGGGTCAAAATCTCAAAAACAACTATGAGGCAATCTTTGGTAGAAACCGTGACTAACCAATTTGATTCAAGCGTATCTTGAATACCGCTATACGAAATTTGAAAGCAAAATCTCATATAGGGTGTTGGTTATTCATTGACAAATTTTTATATTTTTGATTTTTCGATTCATCCTGTATCAAACTGGTCATTCAATGGAGAAACACATCGGATACTTAGATACGAAGTTTCATTGCTCTAACTTCTACAGGAAGATCTCCCTAGGTCAACCCAAAATCAACAAAACTAAAGTTGAGGTTCACCATTTTGATAACTCAAGTGAGCCATTTTTCACATATTTCAACACACAGTAACTGTGCAAATCGTGATCATAATAATATACCGATTTTGGCAAAATGGATGGGAATTTGAGATGACAATAGAAATAATGATGTATAGAGAATATTTCCTCGAACTATAGCTACCATTATTTATATCTCCAGGAAAAAAGATATGGATTACAATAAAACATTTTTCAACTTCAATTTCATTAATCTCTGGTTGGCCCAGAGAGATCTTCCTGTAGAAGTACCATATTTCATCAATCACATCTACTCCTCAGATTTTGATAGAGGGTGAATCAAAAAATGAAAAATATCAATATTTATCACTGAATAACTAACACCCTATGTGAGATTTTGCGTTCAAATTTCGTTTGAGAGTATTGCAGCTATACCTGAATCAAATAGGCTAGTTAGAGTTCCGACAAAAAATTGTCTAGTAATCGTTCTTGAATTTTGACCCCTTCAACAAACAATAGTAGGCTTTGAAGATCTGAATATTGAAAATTTTCTCACATTCTCGAATTAGGCTCATTTAGTACTATATCATGGAATCATTGTTTTTGTAAATCGTTCGACAGGTTCCAAATTAAAACGGTGTTGCGGGTTGAAATCGCACACACTGTATATGGTAAAATATGTTCGAAATGGTCTCACCTATCACTCTCTTCCAGATATACATCGGTGAACCAAACATGTAGTTTGAACAAATATCACAATGACCTTTCAGCGTTGAATGCAACAATAAATGTTTCATTTTTCAGACTTTCTGCGTAGTTTCGAAGAGGTTTCGGAAAAACTACATCCACCGATTCACCGCCACAAGTTCGTTCTTCTACTTCAGCCCCTTCAATCCATTCAGAAAGACATGTATATATCTATGCACCAATCAGTACTTCGATTATTTGGTTATGGCCACAATATTGCTCAACTGCGTCTTCCTTGCCATGGCCGAAACAATTGAAGAAGCCGAGTAAGTATACAAATGAATAAGGACATTATCCGCCATTTCGATTTATATCAAACTTCGACTCAGAATTCTCATTCCATGAAATTCAAAACCTTCAGATACATTCCCAAGCAAATTGCAGGAGAAATTACAAAAGTTTCCGCCATCTTGAGCATCAAAATATTGACACGAAATTTGCGTTCCTCAATCTTGAACACATTTAGATTCATATTTCCATACAAATCGTTGAAGACATAAGAAAGTATTCCGTCATCTCGAATTTTCAAGTTTTTACTCAAAATTTGCATTCGTCAACCTTAAAAATTCTCGAACGCAAATTAGACAGAAAATAACAAAACTGTCCATGCACCATCTCAAATTCTATAGATATACATTTAGCATGCAAATCGAATAAAAAAATTAAATAATTGTTCACGATCCTGAATTTCAGGATATCACCACCAAATTCGCATTCCTTGATGCTGAAAATATTCTGAAACCATTTTCAATAATGTGAAAAGACGAGTACCTAATAAATATATGATATAATTTGAACGCCACCTGAAATGTGAAACTTTCGACTCAAAATTTACATTTATCGATCTTGAAAACCTCTAAATACATAGGTTTCCACTTTCCATGCAATAAGCCGGACGAGAAAAAATAATCTTGGCCGCCATTTTGAAATTATAAATTCCTACTCAATATTAGCTCTCAACAACTTTCAGAATCTTCAAATAAACAGTTCGATGCGACTCGGTGGAATAATAACCAAATCGACTTTCATTTTGAATCTTCAAATGTTTACAAGAAATTCGCATTCCTTGATTTTGAAATGTCTCAGAATAACTATGTTTTCAGTAAATACATTTTCACGCGAATCAAGTATAAGCAAGCAATCAAATAGAAAGTTATTCAATCGTCTAATACTAATATCTCAGTCGAAACCGAAATTAACACTTTGCAACTCAGTTGGTCTGATACCACATAACTCATATATTGGAATATATGAGTTCTGTGTCTGTCTCTGAATCCAATATATCAGTAGAAATATGAGCTCATGCGTTTCACGTTCGCGGTGATAGATGACTGAAATTCCGGATTCCAAACTAGGACTTACTAAAATACATGTTCGCCGTCTATCTAGAGGATATTTTGATCTATATTGGCTATAGAAATAACAATAAGAATTCCTTATTGAGTGCATACCAAAAAGTCGTCAACCTTGTATGTGTCTATTCTCTCAACTAAGAATATTCTCTTTTCGTCCGTTCGACATCAATATTGTTCATTTTGAAAGAACATATTTGTAGATCTTTTCAGATGGATTCAACAGGAAGGAATATTGATGATAGGCTAACATGGCTAACCGGCGTTTTCCAATTACCCCAGTGTCACTTACTTAGATTATTAATATCTTCTGATGGGAATAATAATCTGTAAGAATATTTATTTCATAATTGTTAAGGAATCGCATCCTCTGACGAATTTCTCTGCGAAGCCAGAAAAATTATAAAAGGCTTTGTACAGCAATTTGAAGCAATATACCGGTGATTGTGTTCTGGTCAGTGGGGTATGAATTGTATACTTGGTTTGATCAAGTGAGTAGCTTGATGTAGTAACAAATATTGCTGTTTACAATATTAAAATATTATAATAGCTATAAACAAACGATCAGAGGGTTGAGCTCATTCTTGTTGCTGTAAATATCATTGATTCTCCAAAGAAAAATATTGCATTCATATTCTCATAATCCTTGCAGGAATGCGTTAATAGGTATTGTCTACTGTAAACCTGGCTTAAGAGTTCATATAGTCGAACAAAGAATAACCGTTTTTCATTATTTTATCGGTTGATAAATTACCAAATATTTTGTACTTTGAATTTGAATTGAAATATTCAAGAAATATATTAAATTTACAAAAATGTATTCATCAGAGATTATCAGGGATGTATGTACACAAGAGAAATTAAATAGAAATTATTTTCGCAATTTTTCACAAGGTGTGAATTTCTCGATTTTACAACGTAATTGGAAAAAAAATTTAAAATTAATTCAAGCTCGCACCCAAATGATTTCATCTAATCACTTCATCGAGAGTGCGTTTGCTTCCTTATTTGAGAACACAAACCTGTCAATTTACTCCCACGGGACGAAAGAAAATTGTTTCCCGTATGGGACTTAAAATGAATTGGCTTTAGCATGCTTTCTTGGTAGAGAGTGTCTCCATCACTACTATAGAAAAAATAACAATTTCATTTTTGAACTCCATTAATTTCATACACTTCTTCATAATACAAACTTACTCAATAAAAACTTTAAATACAATGCAATTACACAATAAACAAATTTAATTTGATAGAATTGTCACATTGCCGCCACCTATGAACAAAATGGATGCTAGGTTAATTTCGATACCACATCAGACTCATTCAAAGTCATGAACAACAGCTTGGGGGTTCCGGCGTATTGAGCAGAAGCGTTTCAGGCGAGCAACTGACCAAACATTTTCGGGTTGCTGCGATATGACTACTATATAGCAGTCTAGATAGAGTAATAAGTCGGCTCTACATCTGTCAAGACAGAGAGATTCCGAAAAAACTAGGCTGTTAGCAACAGGGCGAAATGTAAGCATATAATTGGCTTAACAGATATAAAATCTTCACTGTAACTCAGTCTCATCTTGCCTTGTTCGCATTAGGATGAATTATTTATAGGATGGAAGAGGAAGCTCGTGAATTAATCTGAACATCTATTTAGTTGGTCGCGAAACTTTCTCAGTGGAATTTCAGGAAGGATCAAATGCAATTGCACTTTATAAGTGATTGGGAAACTTCACAAAATATGAGATTTCCCTAGAATTCGCAAAACATGACGCGGATTATATTTCGCTCACATATTCAGGAAAGAAACCCTTGCATTAGTATTTGTTTATACGAATCGATGAATATAGATTTCAGGAGGATATTATTTAATGATCTGCGAGGCATTAGCCAGGAAAGTAGTAGTTTTTCTCCCGTCATCTACCATTGTTATTGTTGTTCATTTTAGGGACATTTGAGGAAACGACTTTGAGCTTTGTATCTATTTATTCAACATGTCATTCCACTTTGTACATTTTGGCATTTCCGTAGTTGATACAGGGTAAGTCATGAGGAACTGTACATACTCCTATAAAAAAAAGGCCCTTGAGGAGAATATCTAATGACCATCAGAAAGTGTCTTCTTCCCCTCTTCATCAATATATATATGGCGAATTATGAGATTTGGCAAAAACATCTTTTCGGCATAACTTCTCAACAGCTCCTTCGATTCTTCTGATTTTTTCATGATGTGATATTCCTCTACTAAACCCTGATCAACTGACATTTCCAGAATCGGGAAAATCCAGGACCGTTTTTGAAAAATTTCGATATAGTTTAGTTTTTATCGAAAAGTTCATCCTGTAGATACATGGTTTCTGTAAACCATGACAGGAAATTTCCAAAGCACACCAACAAGCATCAAGAATAAAATATTCAAAATTTTCCTCACACTTTCACAGAATTTTTCAAAAAACAATAAATTATAAACAAAAACGAAAGTTTGATATCAAATTTATTTATTCGAAAATAATTACTTCGCATCGCATAAATTTCACAAATAAAAGGAAGACGCACATTTTCAATGCTTTAGCTCAATGGAAAACAACATGTTCTTTCATTACCAGGCCTGGATCTCGTCTTTTCATTTTTTGTGGATAGTAATAATCACCCTGTAGATCTTTTCCAAATCAGTGGATGCGGTATCTGTTGAGATATTAATGGTCATCGATTCAAATAATTCAAGATAGTCGAACAGAAAATAAAGGTTTATTCACAATTATTTTTCAAAAGCTATACTGACAAAGGCGGATAATAATTCTATAGTACGGAAAATAAGTAACAAATTAACTAAATAAAACAAATCAAATAGATAAAACTGTGAATTGAAATTATAACATTATCTTCAGCGATGGCCATCAAAATTTCCACAGATTACACATCCACTGATTCGAAAAAGATCTACAGGGTGATTATTATCCTCCACAAAAAAATGCAATTACTAAATCCAGGCCTGAAAATAAAATAATATGTAGATTTTCATTGAGATGAAGTATTGGAAATGTAAGTCTCACTTTTAGTCGTAAAATTTATGAGTTGCGAAGTATTAATTTCCAGATGAATAAATTTTTCTGCAACCTACACAAAAGTCGTCCATTTTGATACCAAAATTAGCTCTTAAATTGACGTTTCTATTACTGACACAAAAATAGGTATGTTGCTAGGCAACATATTCAGTTCCTAGGAGCTAAAGTTGAATTTCAGTTCCTAGGAGCTGAAGTTGAACTTTAGCTCCTAGGAACTGAAAAGGATCTACTGGACGTCATCAAGAATAAACAACATTTTGACGGTTGGTTATTTTGGTTGAGACGCATACCTGATTTGTTTCCGATTTCAGCAGATTTGGCGTTTCATACCCATGCTGGAGATATAAATACACCTTTATTATAGTTTAGTATTGGAATTATAAACATCTCAGTTAAGTATTCTTGTTTCCATCAGGGAAGCCTTCAAGATTCAAATACTTGCTTGATCTGTATTTCATTCATTATTCTCGGGAATAATCACGGCAAGCAATAGTTTTTTTGTCTCAAACAACGATATTGTTTAGCTTCATTTTGATCATCAAGTTAAACACAGTGTAGTATAGAGAAGAATAATTAATCACTATTTTCATTGTTGATATGCTCACTAACATTTTCCACGTCTTGTTCCTATAGCTGGCACTGGCGCGATATTTGCCATTAGAGCACCTGGTCCATACACAAATATGTCACTCTGTGGTTGTATTTATATTGAAACTACAATTCGAACATCCTAGAAAACCTAACCAGCTGTTAATGCAGGTAGAATATTCTCACCACATGGATTATTTGTCAATATTTGTTGCATTGCATACATATGGCACGACATTGGTGGTTACTTCACATGTTTATTTGAGTTAATTGTTTCGGTTGCAGAAAAAATAGCATGTTTCATTCGGATCAAAAGTGACTTTGTTCGACTCGCAAATTTTGCTTTCGCTCGGCTTCGCTAAACGCTCCGCCTCGCAAATGCAAAATTCGCTTGTCAAACAAAGTGTCACTTTTGATCCTAATAAAACAATCTACTATTTTTGCCAAATTTTCATTTTTCCATAAAATTCATAGTTTTTTTCAGACTGCAGTGAAAGTGTGAGGAAAATTTGGAATATTTTATTCCTGATGTTTGTGTGTGACCTTTGAAAATTTCCTGTCACAGTTTACAGAAGCGATATACAGGATGAACTTTTTGCTATAAACTAAACCATCAAAATTGTTCAAGAACAATCCTAGATTTTCCCAATTCTGAATGAGTAGTAGCGAAATATTCCATGAAAAAATCGATTATAGAGTACCAGCGGAATATTCCATGAAAAAATCAGACGAATCGAAGGATCTGTTGGAAAGTTATGACCAAAAGATAATTTTGCCAAGTCTCATAATTCACCCTATACAAAAGAAGTTCCCGCATAAAAGCTAAAAAATAGGGGTTTCCATTAAAGATTTCAATGTTACCTCCATTTCCCACTCCCCTGGGGGTCAGGGGGTGAAACTTGTTTTATAACCAGACGTCCCCCTCCAAACCATACCACTTTTATTCGTCAATTTTTTTTGTCAGATGCATACATTTCGAGAAATTTCCAAATAAAGATTAAAATGGGACACCCGGTATATTGGGAACGAAGTGAAGGAGACACTTTCTGATGGTCATTCGGTATTCCCCTCAGTGGCCTCTATTCGTGGTAGGAGTATGTACAGTTCCTCATCACTCACCCTGTATTATATGAGAAACTTGCACGGTCCCCTAAGACATCCAAAGAGATACTCCGTTTTGTTCCAGGTATATTTTTTTAGCAATTTATACCCTCGAGATGATAATAAAGACGATAGCGAAGGGTTTCATACTGAACAAATACACGTATCTGAGGAATCCGTGGAATTGGCTGGACTTTGTCGTCATCACCAGTGGTTACGCCACCATCGGAATGGAAGTCGGCAACTTGGCAGGACTGAGAACTTTCAGGGTGCTCAGAGCGTTGAAAACAATTTCCATATTGCCAGGTGAGGAGCGAAACTTTATCGTCGAATCCATCATAGTCCCTTCATTGTGTGTTATGCAGAGCCGTAGATAGAACGGGGATGTATTCAAACTGATCAACTTGAGATTACGTATAAAAAAGTGAAGGGTATTAGTCTGTTTGAAAAAGGGCTTGTACAGGGTGGGCAGAATAGGTCGTTTTCACGGGTTATCTCAATAACTAGAGGAGTTATCGGAAAACTGATAAACATGTTACGGGTTCGATTCTATTTCGATAAAATTTCGATGTCTTCATTCGTTTCAGAGACACAGGGTGAAATTGAAAAATTGCTGACTTCGATTTTAGTTTTTCATGGTTTTTCTTCATGGTGGAGGATATTGAGAAAAATCAAACGTTTATTAATATAATATGATGCGTAGAATCCATTGGCATCCTTTAAAATTTCATACAGGTTGGGATTGAGAAGATACGGCAGCCAATAATATTTTTTCCGATGGAACACCCCTTTAATTTTGGCACAGTGATAGTCCCAGGCGATTCAATTTAAAATATATATCACCTTTTTTCCTCCACAACTTCAGAAATATTCGCAAAACTATATCCAGTGTGTCACATTTCTTATGTTTGCACCTCCGTATATTCTGTTATAATCATTGAGGAAGCATTCAGAAATTCGCAACTGTGAGAAAGATACCAATGATACACTTATCAAGGACCAAGTGGGACCATCTCCAGTGATAACACTGCTCGCCAACAGCTATGATATCTCCTACATTTCTGTTAGTTTCTGTATTTCAAATTCGAGCTTGATTCTTCAACTAAACTTACTGATTTCCTGACTGAATGAATTATTCGTCTTATTCCTGTATCTAAAATAGCTTGAATGTTTTGATAACAATGATATCAAAGCTAATCACTTCATTCATCTGGAAATATAGAATTTTTGAATATAATTTGAATAATATTCATGTTCCTTCTTTGGTTTATATATACAGAGTATCATTTTCAACCTTTGCATTCTGTTTCTTGATAGCATTTCACAGAAATGTCAGTGATTCCACACCTGCTGGCGAGCAGTGTTATCACTGAAGATGGTCTCAATTGGTACTCGAGTGTATTATACGTGTATTTCTCCCACAGTTTGCGAATTTCTGAATCCAACCTCAATGATTATTCTGGAAAAAATGGAGGTGTAACCATGTGAAATATGATGAACTGAACTGAACTTGAGTATATACAAAAAATCCATACGTATGCATGAATAATGGTTAAAAAATATTTTTCATTCGTGAAATGCAATACCTATTCCTTCAGATTATCAACTTTTTTTCTATCCCAAGAAACAGACATGTTTATGAAGGGACACAAGAAAAATAGATAAATGAACAAATCGAATATCCAATAACAAGTAAGATAAACAGTTAAATCTGAATCAATCTGAATTACTCTCAAACACTGCCTTGCAAAGAGATTCTTCAATATCTGTAATGCAAATATTTCGAGCGATATTTTACTCATGCCGAACTGCTTGGGAGAATTTAGAATTCGGGTTACATAATACATTGAGCAGAATTAGAGAGTTGGACTATTGAAGGGTAGTGATCTTTCACAATTCGAAATGATGTTAATCTGATCTCTATACAAAGAAGAACATCCAAAGTTCTACTTGTGGTACACATATCATGACGATTTCAAAATTATATGTTATCGAATAAAATTGTTTTGTTCTTGCCTTCTCCTGCTAATTCAAATAAGTTTTTACGCCGGTGGGAGTAGAAGTTAGTTTCTCTGGTAACAAAAGAGGGGTAGAAGTCTCGTATTTCCCTAGGGAGATAATAATTATAATAAAAATAATAATAATAAATCGTCTTTATTCATCATTAAATGTGTAGAAACCATGTAGATACGTTATTTCCCGAAGAAACACCTATATATCATAAGTATACAATAGGAAGAAATAATCAGATAATTCAAATTAAAAATTGCATAATATTGAGATAAGGATTGACAGATTTTTGTATTGTAATAAGACCTACCTGGCTGAAAGATCAAGCTTTAATGAGTTTAATATCTTCTTAAAGTTGCTAAGAGTGAAAGATCTAAATTCCATGGGAAGTGAATTATAATATTTGCTAGCTTTATCAGAGGAACTGCGTTTGAAAAAAGATTAATTATGTTATATATTTTCTCCCTAGGGATTTTATACCAACTTTACATTCTCCGCATAGCTCTGCGAGTTTAAGCTGCATCATACAGATTTCTAGATCTCACTGGTAGCACGTTGAGAGTCACTGCAGAAGCAGAATCAATAGTTTCTTGGGGCTTTCCCACGATTTCTTGTTCCATAACCGTCAACCATTTTCGAACCTGTTTTCATAAATTTCAGTTTGATATTTGCTGTCACCATGGGTTGTCAACAAGATGCATGTTGTCAATATACGAATTCCACAAACTATATATACTACTACTAATTATGACAAAACACTTCGACCAAATTTGTATTCCTTCTTAATTTTTGTGTTTTCGCCAGCGTGAAAAATAGTATATACACCTCAGGACAGAATGCTATTTTTCCCTCGGTGCTTTATATCTCTTGGGTTTCGCCCTCGAGCTACAAATCGCACCTTACATTTCTGTCCCTTGATGTATAATGTACTATTTCCCTGTCAATAAGATATATTTCGACTTGAATACGTCAATGACCTACATTTAACTTTTGTTCCAGGGCTGAAAACCATAATTAACGCGCTTCTGCACTCCTTCAAGCAGTTGGCTGAGGTCATGACGCTCACCATCTTTTGTCTCATGGTATTTGCCCTGTTCGCTCTGCAAGTGTACAAAGGAGAGTTGAGGAACAAGTGCGTGCTTAAGATGGATGATCATAATGCTTCCTACGAGGCCTGGTTCAAGTAAGCCATCTGTCATTGCGCATAGAACTGAATGAAACAATCGGCTATATATCACGCGTAGCCATATTGTGATGCGACAATGGGTGCCAACTGGCCAGACTTTCCAACTGAAGAGAATTATATTAATCTTCAACAAAATAGCACGAGAATAAAGAGAGGAGGAGAGTAGAATGGTTGGAACTATAATGACTGTCATGTCATTGAAATAACGATGAGCTGTCGTGTATGTTAAGAATCTCAAACTATACAGTAAGATATGATCACCTACACTGAAAAAAAAATTGCGTGTAATTTCACTTCCATAGCAGCAAGCAGTTCCACGAAAATAAACTGGGCCCTTCTGTTATCTTGAAAAGTGTGTGGAAGTCTTGTTGATGCCCAAAATGCCATGATTATTTACAAGAGATGAAAATATAGATATGTTAATAACTGCGTTTCGTCCTGATAGTAGTCAATCAGAATACTCTCACACAGATGGAAAATCAGAAACGAAATCAAAATCAATATTGAAGTCTGAAATGTCACTTATGTGGTACCCAACATTGGATCCAGAAAATGATTCAGAATTCGAAAATACATTCGATATACAGGGTTCAAAAATCATAAGTAATACTAGTTCCGGCACACTCAACTTCCCACGTGATTACCCCCTCGCAAAAAAGATACCCACAGATAGTATTTGACTATTTTCTTCCTCCCGCAGCTGGACCCAGGACCCGACGAAATGGCTGCGCCGCAACTCGTCCGGCGAGCCGTACCTGTGCGGCAACGTGACGGGGTCGAGACACTGCCCCTCCACGCACACCTGCCTCTGCACAGGGGACAACCCCAACTTCGGCTACACCAGCTTCGACAACTTCCTTTGGTCGATGCTCACCACCTTCCAGCTCATCACGTTGGACTACTGGGAGAACGTCTACAACATGGTGAGTTCGCAGATTATGGTTCGCGTTGATGTATCTTTAAGGGAGGCTGAAGTTAGGGCCTCATCATTGGGATTGTGTATACCGTAAGAGATACAAGGTTGGTGAGATTATCACAAAGTTGTGCAGTTTTGTGTTGATCAAAATGCCGTTTTGAAACCCGAACAATTCCTGTCTCTGCATGGGCGACAACCTCAACTCCGGCTAAACCAGTTTCGACAACTTCTTCTGGTCGATGCTCACCACCTTCCAGCTCATCACGCTGGATTACTGGAAGATCGTCTACAACATGGTGAGTTCACAGATTCTGGTACCCAATGATGTCCATGTAAGGGTGACTGGAGTTAGGACCTAGTAAACCGTTAGAGATACAGGGTTAGTTAGTTTATGGCAAAGTTGTGCAATTTTGTGCTTATCACAATGCCGTTTTGAAACTCGAAAAATTCCTGCCTCTGCATGGGCGACAACCCCAACTTCGGGTATACCAGCTTCGACCACTTCCTCCGGTCGATGCTCACCACCTTCCAGCTCATCACGCTGGATTACTGGAAGAACGTCTACAACATGGTGAGTTCGCAGATCATGGTACGCAATGATGTCTCTTTAATGGTGACTGGAGTTAGGACCTCATCATTGGAATTTTGTAAACCGTAAGAGATACGAGTTTGGTTAGATTGTGGCGAAGATGTGCAATTTTGTGCTTATCAAAATGCCGTTTTGAAACTCGGGAAATTCCTGTCTCTGCAAGAGCAACAACCCCAACATTGGTCATACAAGCTCCGACAACTTCCTCTGGTCGATGCTCACCACCTTTCAGCTCATCACGCTGGACTACTGGAAGAACGTCTACAACATGGTGAGTTCGCAGATCATGGTACGCAATGATGTCTCTTTAATGGTGACTGGAGTTAGGACCTCATCATTGGGATTTTGTGAACCGTAAGAGATACGAGTTTGGTTAGATTGTGGCGAAGATGTGCAATTTTGTGCTTATCAAAATGCCGTTTTGAAACTCGGAAAATTCCTGTCTCTGCAAGGGCAACAACCCCAACTTTGGTCATACAAGCTTCGACAACTTCCTCTGGTCGATGCTCACCACCTTTCAGCTCATCACGCTGGACTACTGGAAGAACGTCTACAACATGGTGAGTTCGCAGATCATGGTACGCAATGATGTCTCTTTAATGCTGGCTGGAGTTAGGACATCATTATTGGAATTTTGTAAACCGTAAGAGATACGAGTTTGGTTAGATCGTGGCAAAGATGTGCAATTTTGTGCTTATCAGAATGCCGCTTCGAAACTCGAAAAATTCCTGCCTCTGCATGAGTGACAACCCCAACTTTGGGTAAGTATACCAGCTTCGACAACTTTTTCTGGTCGATGCTCACCACCTTCCAGCTCATCACGCTGAACTATTGGGAGAACATCTACAACATGGCGAGTTCGCAGATTATGGTACGCAATGATGTCTCTTTAAGGGTGGCTGAAGTTAGAGCCTCATCATTGGGATTATGTATTCCGTAAGAGAGACAAGGTTGGTAAGGTTATGGCGGAGTTGTGCAATTTTGAGCTAATCAAAATGCCGTTTTGAAACTCGAAAATTTCCTGCTTCGATAATTTCTTCTGGTCGATGCTCACCACCTCACAACTCGCTGGACTACTAGGAGAGTTCGCATATCATATGGTACCTTCCACAACTCTCGCATTTTCTACAACTTCCAAGAGGATGTCTTGAAGACTTTTTCGAAAATACGCCACTCTTTTGTAGTTCTCAAATATGATTTTTCAAAACTTACAGATTTTGATCGAATCTGAATGATTTTCAAGAGGGAATGACTTCCAGTGATCACCTCCAATGATGATTAAATGTCAAAGGTAGCAAATATAGCGAATATACATGAATTTGTAATTATTGTCATGAAATTATTATTCTTTTGAAAAAATTCGCAAATCGATCAAACTGTAGATTCGGATGCTCATAAATTGAGAAATAAGGAAGATGTAATTATATTCAGTGGATTATTTTTGTACTAGATATTCGAAAGGTCTTTTCAATGATGAGGAAATCTGCAGGGTGTTCTATTTGAAATTCATACTTCTTGCTGCTACCTGGTACAGTAATTCCTATCATGCCAGGTTTCTGGGTTTTGTTCTTGCATGAAGATAGAGCGGTTTCCGCGTTCCTGTCCTACTTTTTGTGACATTCAAGATGGCTTGATCAGATTTTGCAAAACTGTTTTCGTTTACAGATACAGGGCGATTTCGAACATTTATTCGTTCTGGACCCCTTCCATATCTACGAAGTAATTAGAAATGATGTTGCTCTGAAAATTACGTCTAATAGAGAATTTTGCGAAAATCCAGTGGCGTACTCGGGTTTTTATCTTGGGTATTGGTTTTGGAGATACGACACAAACTTATATATTTTTTTAAGGAACACAAACTAATATGTTTTTTATTTCATTGAATCAATTTTTTTTTTCATTCGAAATGATTCCAGAAATGCTAAGAAAACACTTCAACCTATGTATTACTACGTATTTGTTGCTTTCTGGGAGGTACCAACATAGGTCTTATGTTTCGTTTCATTGGATTAGTGTTGGTATTTTTTTCCTTACTTCCTACAGAAAAAATTGGAAATGGTACTTGAAAAATAACAAATTCAACAAAATAATAATATGTAGAGTGTTCCGTTGAAAGTATATTCAGTTGTGTTATTTCTCCAAAACCATTCCCCGAAAAAAATGAAATGTTGATCAAAATGTGATGTGACTGAATTGATTTATTGATAAGTGACACAAAAAATAGTTCGTCAGAAAAAAATATGGTCTTCTGGTATGTGTGACTCATTGTAAATAGCCTTAATGACCACATCTCATTGCCACGAAATAAAATAAAAAACAATTTAAATTTGAATTTTTATGAAAAAGTTACATTCGACATCAAGATTGCACTTGTTTTGATCTGTTGAACTTTAATATGTGTGTGAAAATATACAGGATGTTTCATTTGAAAAAACAGAGTTGCTGGCTAGAAATTTGTTCCATGATGACATTTAAGTACGTATTTTCATTGACCAAGGTCTATTTCGCAATTAAAATCCGTGTTGAAACTGAGATCAATAATGAATTTGTAATGGATATTGAATTCGCTCATTATATAACCCACAACCTCCTGAAAACATTACATGATCCTCGAGTTCTTGAAATTCATATCTATTTTTCTGGATTGGCCCAAAATTATATGATTGGAATGATGTAATGGATTAGTCCATAATCCATATTATCATAATCTTAATCTATTATTCCCTCATCTGTTTTGGTCCGCTTACATCTCACCGATACTCGTTGTATGAGTTCTGATCGTAATTCGAGTAGCTGAGAATGAGAACAATAATTTTACTTCAACTGTAGCGCCACAAAGAAAAAATGCATGATGAAATTTTCGCAATTTAATTAGAAGATAAGTATATTATCAGGAACAAACTGTACAGTATCAATAGTGAATTGAAAGTAATTTCGTTTTCCTGATCGATTCAAGTGAACTTTTTTTATTGGCGTGTAATTTGCAAGTATAATTCCAACTCCCGATATTGAAACTTATGGGTTTCCAGAGTGGTTTTAATATTGAACATCGGTGTGAGAATGCAAATTTGCAAATGGCTGGCCAGTAGGAATAAATCCAGATTAAAAGATACTACAGGATTACAAAATGCTTGTAGAGGGCTTAGTTTCATTATTCAGCAATGCGGATGTCTTTCGAGATTAAACGAAATGAAAATGTGAATGAGGATGCTAAAAGAACACAGAAAATAGAAATGTTGTCGAGTTAAATGCATTACACCATTTGTTATCCTCATCATTCCTTCGAGTTTATCAGAACAGGTTCGTCGTCATAGATTTATCATAAGCTCAATATCTTCAGTAGCACTCATTTATAAGATTCCGGTATACCAAAGAGTATACCTCACTCTGAAAATTGAGAATTTTTTCATAACTTTTTTCCACGTAACTTTGTTTCAACTCTAACTCGAGGATTTACGCATAATTGAATTCAACAACATATTGCGATGTCTGAAGTAAGTAAGAATAAGGGTGCTTATTAAAGAAGTTTTATTCAGGCCTCAGTCAGAAAAATCCTTGGGGAATATGCTACCGTGAAAATACAGGATAACAGTTCAATGATCTATATAATGAGGCAATTATTCCACGATCGATAACCTAGATTTTGAACAATGATTTCTACAAATTGAAACTGATTATCCAATATTATTCACTCAACCCTAATGAGAGAAATGATATGAAAGCTGAAACTAGCAAAATGGGGAGTATATATAAACTTCACGTTTCAGTACAGTTTTTCCAAGTTTGATAATAGTTCCCGAATATAATATTGATTTCTATGATATCTGAAAATCAACGTCGAGCGCCTTCCTGGAGAAATAAATATTTATCGAAAAATAGAAAAATGGTATCTCGTTGATACACTTATATTGGATTGTTCTGAATTTGAGAAATCGTAGCATACATAGAAGATCTGAAAATCCCACTCAAAATATCACGAGGGTTTCGATTATTCTCGGATATTAATTGAAGCTAAAGTGGTATTCGGTAAGAAAATTTACATATTGATGGTTGTTTGTGATGAAATGTAAGAACTAACGTATATAGAAACAACATGTGTATTTGTAAATTCCGAATTTTAAAATATACCTACATAATATCATATGGTAAACTGTTGATGAATGATTTTCATTTATTGACTCATAGAAATTTATTCAGCTGCTATGGTAACGATACGAAATACAGGCTTTGAATTGATCGAAAATGTTTGGTGTGAAATTTTCGCAAGATAATTCATCTACAACTATTGAATCATTCATGCATTGGTGACTCGATTTTCAACATTCAATGGCAAAATTGTTTTGATTCATCTAAACTCTAAACAATTTTAGAACAATTGTCTCCCTTTTTCAGCAATATAAAACTACAAGGCAAATTATTTCGAAAGACTTATTTTTGCTCTGGTATCTGAAAAGTAGTAGATATAGTATAGTATTCTACTCACGCATAATAACTTCGGCTCGCACAGCAATTTTCGTTAATGGTATACTACTAATGATATTTTTGTTTCAGGTATTATCAGCTTGCGGACCCATAAGTGTCACATTTTTTACAGTCGTAGTATTTTTTGGTTCATTTTATCTCATCAATCTGATGTTGGCTGTGGTAGCACTCGCTTACGAAGAAGAAGCGGAAATTACACTAGAGGTGAGTAGGTATCGCATAATAATGTTATACGAACTAATTTGAGATAATACCTTCGGAATCGTGGGATGAGGAACACGCACAATTCTTAGATTCATAGAAATGAGATTCTGACCATATTATGATCCTAATGTATATAATCAAAAACTCTCCAATATGTTTCTAACACTGAAAAAATGAATTCTATATGGGACAAATTCAAATTTCTGGTAAAAAAAGGGTAAATGGCTCCTGGTCATATGACTAATATAACTTCATTTCACTATAGCTCGGGAGCCAGCGACATTTTACAATGTCTTAGATACTCTAGAAGACATGGGCGTGAGAGGTACCCCAGACAGCACTGGATATTCCTAGAATATTCTCCAAATATGCTAAAAGAGAAGAATATATTCTGAATATCCTTCGAATATTCTTAGAATATATACGTGCCTCTGGAACATTCAAGGAATATTCAAATGTGAATATTCTAGTAATATTCCAAAATGAATATACGAGGAATATTCTAAAGTGAATATTCCTAGAATATTCCAGTTGGATAGTGCAGGGAATATTCATGTATGAATATTCCAGAAATTTTCCCAACTGAATATTCTGTTTCTGTATATTCATGGATTATTCCAATAATATTCCTATATGTGTTTCAATGAAATTGTAAAGTATGGAAATTCACCAATCACTATTTTATAGATGTGAGTCATTGATTTTGAAATATGTGGTAGAAGTCCATCGTATTTCAAAGTAAAGTGGTTATATTACCAGGAATCAAAAACACAAAGTCGTCTCCACAATTTTGATAGGTAGTGATCAAAGTACTCAAAGATCATCGTACATGTTAAGAGCCCATATGGAACTGGAAGTGTTTATGATCCGCTTCTGAACAACGTTATTCAACTCGATTACTGGCCTAGTGGTTAAGGCGTAGATCTGACAGTCCGAAAGTCCCGAGTTCGAGCCCATCTTGGGTCAGCTTTTTTTAATTATGAATATGTACTAAGGAATATTCATTTATTTATATTCCTGTATTATTCCTGGAATATTCCGAATATTATCTGAATATACCTAGAATATCATGGGTATATTCTGAATAAATAGGGAATATTCCTTGTGTAATATTCCGGGAATATATAAAATTTTCCCCACCATCACATTCAGGGAATATTCCATAGATGATATGTATATTCCTGGCATGTTCATGAATATCCGCAATATCCAAAAAGAATATTCTATGAATATTCATGGAATATCTGGTGCTGTCTGGGACAGCACACACGTTATTAAAAAGCTACTTAACAGATAGGAAACAAAGAGTAAGAATTGAAAGCCATATTAGAAGAGAAATGAAAATAACATGTGGAGTACCTCAGGGGACAGTATTGGGGCCGTTGTTATTCAGAATTTACATGAACGATATATTCATACCAGAGATGAAAGGAATAATCACCAGTTTTGCGGATGACACTGTGATATACTATAAGAATGATGACTGTTTCAGTCTCAAATTGAATATTGAGGAAGATCTCGTGAAACTCAAAGACTGGTTTGATAGTAGATTACTCTCTATCAACTTTGAAAAAACCATATACCTACCATTCAGCGGCCTTCCAACATCCTTGCCAGAATACAATCTGAACATTCAAAAAGATTTCTCTATCAAACCTGCAAAAAAGTTAAATACCTAGGCAATCATATAGATAACCATCTCAGATGGGACCACCATATGAAGTATTTAACAAACAAAGTACGATGTACCTATACTATTTCGATTTAAACATGTTGGAAGATATTTGAACTACAAATACAAAAAAATCTTATATCACAGTTTAGTAGAATCACATTTGAATAAGGGCATTATTGGTTGGAAAGGGGTATCACGAAATATACCACTTTCTGTTAAATCCATACGGCAGAAAAGCTACGTGTATCTAGCTCCGAGATTATTCAACTATCTTCCATAAAAAATTGAAGATTAAACTTCTCTGAAACGCTTCAAAAAAAAATCACAACATTTGTAAAACAAATTGAGAGAACAAATATCCACGAATTGATAGAGGGCTAACTAACAAAGGGACAAACATAATTTTGATAGGAATTAAATAGTGATGTTAGTCTTGTCCCATTGGGATTTATTCATTTATACATATTTATTAATTCATATTATTTATATTTTTCTTTTGGTTTATTTATCTCGTGAACTTTGGTAAGTGTATTAAGATAGGATGTAAAAACTGGTCATAGGTATATATAATGTCCTTGTCGAATTGAGTTATATATTTTTTCTGTATTTTCCACAAACAAGTATGTATAATACTTCTGTGGAATTCATTCATGTTTATCTCTCGATTTATTTTCACTTATGTTTTCCAATCATGTTTATGAATCAATTTTATTGGAATTGAACATCATACGATACAATACAATGAAGCTTGGTTAATTTTTTTTTATCTGTTGTAATAATATATCCTATATCAACAAAATCCACTCCTCAATCGCGGGATAACGTTCATCAACAGCTTATCAATGTTGTTGAAAATAACGAGTGAATGTCAAACATGATAAAAGCTGAAACTTCACTAATTGTTCAATGACATATCACTAGGGCTTCGCGAGACCAAGACCAACACCAAGACTGATCAGTCGAATCTGATGTTAAAATATCAGGGCAGTATTAAGAAAAATTAAGTTCGTGATGACTGCTCGAAAACAAAACGTTGGATCAGGAAATCGATGATGGCGAATTGGGAACCATCAAAAGTTACCACGAAGATGTATTCTCAGTTTTGTCATAACTTCATTATCAACGCCATTTTGTTGGTCCTGCACTCAGGCAACTTCCCATTCAACCAAATCTGTATCTCTCGAATTTCGGAGATCTCCAAACTGGCCCTCCTTATCTTATTTGACACAGTGTATACATATTCTTCGAGCAAGAATTTACTGACAAATTGCTCAAAAGATGTCTACAATAACAAGATAGAAACTCGTGTCCATATTAAGTCTCAAGTCATGAAAATTCACCATATTTGACTCAAAAAATAGTAGTTATTTTGTGTGTCAATTGTCGAATGTATTATCTCTCGTCATTATCAATTATAATTAGTTATAATAAACCTAGTCATAATTAGAAAACAAACATTCATTATGTCACTTGACAGTTCGCTTCGAATAAATTAGATAATATATATTCAGCAATGGTTCACTTCAGTCCACAGGGATCATATTTGTCAATGCAGGAATATGTTTTTTTCAAGGACCTATATAGAAAACACCCTGTATATTGATAATTTGAATTCATTCAGTTTTCGGTTGATCACCGCATATCAGGTGTTATAGTGTATCACTTTAGTGCTTCTATGTAACTAGATGCTGATGATGAAGCTTTAAAGCTTCGAAACATGTCCCATGTGAATTGTCATGTGCAATTGCCTTCACTTCACTGCAAGATGGATCGTCTCAGATGGTTATTGTATATTATTTCAATTCTCAATTCAAATTTCGGATATTTACAGGAAAAACAAATTATTCAATGCTCAAATAGAATATGTATAGTAATTATGGTATCTCGAAGAAATTATATTTTTTGAACAGCATAAGAATAGAAATAATAATGAAAAATGAGTCTTGGAGAAGTAATGAGAGTAGGACATTAGATAAAATGGAAGAAAATGAAGGAACACAATGGATAAAATTGATTAAATTCTTAAGGTTGGGAAAAAACATTTATCACTATGATGACCGTGTATTATCTACAAAAATATAAGATACGACTGGATACAGACTGTCGATCATCAAAGACAAAGCTTCCCAGAGTGTTTTGAGAAAATGCCTCCTGTAGATGAACTAAAATGTTTAGGTTTCCAGAATGTTTTCATTGATCTGAAACAGATATACAGACACATGGTGATAATGGAAAGTCAAATCATCCTCTAGAATTCTCATCAATACATGTCGTGAACATCTCTTGATATTATGCCATGTCCTTGTTATAGACTAGTGTAAATACTCAAAGGCCATGTCGAGGTTCACTACTAACAAGGATTTTGTATGCTATACTGTTATTGATTCAATATTGGAGTAGAACTTTCTCCATTCTACACTCAGTTTCAAAAAGAGTGATGCACTTGATATTTTTTATTTGTTGGTAGGTAATGCAGTTGTCTTTAAAAAAATTAAGAGGTGATAATTTCTTCAAAGCCTCCTTGATGGTGGTGGAATAACTCGAACCATGATTTATTCTTAATTTTCGACTCACCCTGTGTGTTAATTGAGTAATGGCATAGAAAGTGCTTATACCCTATACGAAAGAGGCTTCTCTTGCGAGCATTTTGTTTTTTTATTCATTGATTTATCGCTAAAATTTTCTGAATTACAGCTTTTTTGCTGATACCTTACGCTTATCCCACAAATTAAATTTATTGAAGGATCAGAGTACTCAAAATTGATTGGGTTGTACTCTGGTAGGATCACATTGTCTTTAAAAAAACAAATGCCGTTGCCATAGCAACTAATTTGTTGTATGCCTCCATATTTGACCATTTGTCGTTGTGTCATTAATTGAGTGTCTTGTTTTATTGACTAAAATTACATAAAATGCCTCAAATAAATCCTGAGCAATCCTGAATCAGTCGATGAATGCCCAAATTTACATTGACATTTTAGAGCAGTATGTCTTACCTTATGCAGAGTTAGTGGGCAATAATTTTATATTGATGCAGGATAATGCCCGACCACACACCGCAGCAATAGTGCGAAACTTCTTAGAAGCTACTGGTATTACCACATTACAATGGCCTGCGAGAAGCCCCGATATGAATCCTATAGAACATTTGTGGGATGAATTAGGAAGAAGGGTACATTCTCGCGAGAGGTCTCTGGAAAGTCTCGCAGAAATTGCAAATGCATTAGTGGAAGAATGGGATCGTATACCAATGGAAACGATAAGCAACTTAATTTCCAGTATGCCTCGTAGATTAGAAGTTCTTAGAGTTGCTAGAGGAGGCAATAGACGGTATTGAGCAGTCATCCCAATTCATGATTTTGTGTTTAATAAAAATGTTTCTTAAAATTATTGGTATCAGTTTATTTTATTAGAAAATTGTTTCTCGATAAATTCAGAAAGTTGGTAATCTGCAAGGATTCAGCAAAAAAAGCGGCAATTCAGAAAATTTCAGAGATAAATCAATGGATAAAAAAACAAAATGCTCGCAAGAGAAGCTTCTTTCGTATAGGGTGCAAGCACTTTCTATGCCATTACCAATTAACACACAGGGTGAGTCAAAAATTAAGGATAAATCATGGTTCGAGTTATTCCACCACCATCAAGAAGGCTTTGAAAAACTTTTGACCTCTTAATTTTTTTTTGAGACAACTGCATTACCTACCAACAAATAAAAAAAAATTAAATCGGCCTAAAATTTTTTGTTTTTTCTTTTCAAGAAGATAGGGCAAATATCAAGTGCGTCACTTTTTTTGGAACTGAGTGTATATGTATAGATGAAATGAAGGACACATAATGTGCTATCATCATTAAATTTTTGGTTATAATTGCACAAGTGCATGAAAATGACCGATAATTTTGCAAGAAAGCGTGTTATCTAAAAAATGTAAGAGGTTAATTTCATATTCTGGCGAAAGAGCCCGAGCGTCGGCCCATTTACAAAGTAAGAAAATAACCGAATGCAATTTGTATACGATAACACGCTCGAATGCAAAATTATCTGGTCATTTCTATGCACGAATGTAATTCATTGGAATATTTCACGAATAAAGGAATTCTGTCTGTTCGATTTTGTATTTTCTGGTTCACTTTTATTTATACTTTCCTGGATAAATACTAAATGATACACGAAGTCATCTCCACGACTTCGTGTATCATTTAGTATTTAATACTTGACTCCACTTTGAGATACCATGGACTTCTACCAAAGATTTTTCCTGGATAGATAGATGGACATTTTTCCACTTTTTGAAGTTCATCTGACAATTATTTGTATAGTTTGCTGGTGTCTAGCAACACGGTTTCAAATGTTGCTATGGCGACAAGATCTCTTCGCAGTGCAATCTTCGCTCCTGCAGTGCAATAACCGATATATATGACGAAAATATTCAGTAGTGATATCCCTAGGACACTGAGAATAGACCAGATAATTTTATTCCTTGGTAACCAGCTCGAAGCCGAAGGCAGAAAATAGTTTGAAGTTGTCAAAGTCGATCATGTTGTCATAGTGATTGATAATTGCACTGAATGCAGTTATCAAAATTTATTTTCAATGTAATTGGATGTTGTCGATTCAATATAGGAGATCAAGGATAGAAGAGATGCTTTTGAGCTTTCCGAGAAACTTTCACCATTTCATCTGATGAATTGGTGGTCAAACTAGTTACGTTGCGTTCTCGCCATTTCTTAAAGTTTTAATTTTCATTGTTGTTCATCTCGAACAAATATTTCAACTTGATAATCAGCAAATATCATCTCATGTACATATATCATTGGAGATCATTTATGTCGAGGATTTTTTGATCTCTATATCATTTGTTAAATCTGTATTGAAAATATTTTGGCGCTTCCACCATTTATTAGGCTCTATATCTCCAAGAGATGATACTTGCATAGATGCAAGAGAAGGATCAATATCTTTTTCCTGTCTACGTCATGAAATTTGTGTAGACGTCATTTCGTTAATGTTACAAGATGTCAATGCTTTGATGACAACTTGGATATCGAACAGGATTCCTTCTCAAATTTGAATTTGATAAGGTGTATTTCTACTTGAAAATTACTGCGGTATATTTGCCCATTGATTCGGAGTATTTCGGTTTCCTCTAGGGTATTGAACTCGTCGATTATATACCATGATGTTTCATAGATGAGTATTCATTAGGACTTTTCTTCCAATTTTTGGCCGTAGAAGCCGCTGGTGAAGTTTGGCAGCCTAATTTCGGGACACCCTGTATATGTGAACCGATTTCAGACAAAAAAAGCATCACTTTATATAAATAAATGAGATCAACATTCATGAAACTAATTGTATAAAATACCTTGGCATAATGATTAATATTAATCTGAAGTGGGATGATCATGTAGATTACGTTCTGAAAAAATTAGAAGTCTCATTACTAAATTCAAACGTCTGAAATATGTATTGAGCATTCCTAGTTTGTAAATGATATTTTTTGCTTCAGTTCAATCTCAACTAGTTTATGGAATTTTAGGATGGAGAGAGTAAAGCAAATATATTTGAAAAATTTGGAAGTTATTCAAGAATGGATTTTGAAAATTATTTATGGAATAGGATATTCATTTCAAATCGACCTTTTATACAAAAAATCTCAGAAGATGGATATAAATCAGCGTTATATTTATTCTTTATCAATTTACATGTTCAAAAACATAAATGAAATTAAATTTAGAAAAATTACCTATGATATAAAAAATAGAAACCCAACACTGAAATATAAATCTAATGAAACAATTGGACAAAGAAATTATAAATATTTAATTCCTTATTTGAATGATGAAATTCCGCGTGATATTAAAGAAGTATTCATAGGAAATTAGAAACTTCACTGAATTGTACTTATAGGTTCCCAATGACTGAATGAAAAACAATACATTTATATTTATAAATAACTTCTGTCTCGAGTTGATCAGTTGGTTTAATAACCATATTTTTTATCTTATACAGGGTGGCCCACGGTCGATGGTACCTTAGACGTATACGGAAAACGGTACATTGGATTATCCTGAAAATTTGGTAACTCTAATAAGCGTTTGTGATCTAACGATTCATAATATTTCCAGCGAAGCAGCGTTGCCACTTTTACCAAAAAGTAGCATCATCTTTGTTATTTCAAATGGAACACCCTGTATTTTATTGCGTTTTTAGATTCTATTCGAAGTGCTGATTTCATCAATGCATCACACTTGGGGTCTAGCAGGAATTATTACAGAGATATAGGGTGTTCAAAATCGAGATTTTTCAATTTAAGGATTTTTTTGTGTCGAAACTATTCATCATTGGTCAAAACGGCTCACATGTCCCTATATTAACTTCTGATTCACTATCTACCGACATTTAATTGGAAAAAATACAGGTTGGTCCAAGATTCAGAATTTTGATCACCCTGTATCTGTTCCAATTAAATGTCAGTAGATAGTGAATCAAAAGTTAAGATAGGGGCATGTAAGCCGTTTCGATCGATAATGAATAGTTTCGACACAAAAAATTCCTGAAATTTAAAAATCTCGATTTTGAACACCCTATATCTCTGTAATAATTCCTGCTAGACCCAAAGTGTGATGCATTGATGAAATCAGCTCTTTGGAAAGAATTATGAAATACAGGGTGTTCCATTTAAAATAACAAAGATGATGCTACTTTTTGGTAAAAGTGGCAACGCTGCATCGCTGAAAATATTTTGAATCGTTAGATCACAAACGCTTATTAGAGTAACCAAATTTTCAGGATAATCCAATGTACCGTTTTCCGTATACGTCTAAGGTACCACCGACCGTGGGCCACCCACAACAAGTTATACTTCGTAAGGTTCAATTTGTTTATGCACTAGCGGGCCGTAAAGTGCACTTTACCGCCTGGTTTTGCGGTCGTTAAGTCGCACTTTACCGCCCGCGGGCTCATTATGGCCCACGGGCCGTAAAGTACACTTTACCGCCCGCTGTTCTCAGTCACCTTATATCCACATATCAATTTATGAAAAACCTATGATCATATTCCTAGATTCTGATATATCCAGCAGTATATCATAAACTTCTTCTTCATCCGATTCCATAGTCTCGCTATTATTATTATCACTAATTTTACTTTTCAATCGAAGAATGACAATTCAGCTCGTTCATTGGATGTATTGCTATAGACAATAACAACCATCAGATTGATTGACAACGTCAAAATAAGTTAAGTTTATATACTGGGTATGCATATTGTAAAATTCTGAAGAATGAATCTCTTCTAGAGCTAAAAGAGTTTTACTATTACGATAATTGCAATATTCGTACGATAATTTCCATATGTAAATCATCCATGAACATTACGCTTCTGTTGATTACTGAATTTATACGTAACAAACTAAATTCTGGGGAATATTAGTTTATCGAAATCTATAGTCATTACTTATGAGTCAGAAAATAAACCACTAGTGCATAAAATTTTGTTTGTATCTCGTGCGTGAAATGCGTTTATGGCCTTCAGCGTGTAATGGCCCTCGGCTAGTGCCATCGGGCCATTATTCACGCCACAGGCCATAAACGCCTACTTTACGCCCTTGATACATAAATAACTATTATTCAATACCAATATGTATACTTTTAATTAATATTGTCAACATTTTGAATGAACTATATTATCATTATTTTTATTATTAGTATCTATTCAATATCCATCCTATACATTTTCAGGAACGAAAGAAAGAATTAGTGGACCACCGCGAAGACTCCACGTTCAGCTTCGACCCCTCCAATTTGAACGTGAAAAAGTTGTCGAGGCAGAAAATCAAGAAGATCGACGCCAGGAAAGGGGTCCTGCTGTCGTCCTACACCAGGAAGAAGACGAGGCGCAGGAAGAGAAATCGCAGTTCCACCAGCGCGGCGAAAACAAATTCGACAGAAAACAATGGCAATAAACAAGAGACAAAAGACTCAGCTTCTAACAAATCGTCACCGAAGAAGAGGAGTCGGAGGTGGGTAGTTATTTTTTCTACTACTGCTATGAAAAGTAGCGCATTTCTCATAGCTTACTTAGTTGCAAAACCATATATTACCCATACTGTGAGAAATATTTTTTCTCACGCCACTTTGCCAACACCACATACATACCCATGGAGAATCAACAAAAATCGACCAAAACTTGGCTGCTGTTCAGCTTTGAATAGTTGTCACAACTATCAGAAGATGTTTTTTAAATTCTCATTAGTGCTTTTGATAGAAATCGCATTTTTTATCAAATATCATTCCAACAATTCATAATAAATAATATGATGTATACCGAGATGTGACGATTTTGATAAATACACCGCCAGAGACAGAGATAATGGAAAAAGCTGCGAAAGTTGGATTTGTTTCCGGAAATTTCAAGAAAAAAGTATGAATTGGCATATTGGTACGAAAAATGTATGGAATCTAAAAAAATACAGAAATAAAATCGTTTCCGGAATGTGTACTTTTTGAAATACTTTGAGGAACTAGGAAAGGCGGCGTCTACTCTTTGGTCACAATATTCAATGTGGCATAGTGCCACATTATGAAATGAATTACATTACACGGATTCTTTGAATAAGTGCAGTTGTAGAAAAAGTATAGTGTGCAACATGTGGGGAAAAGCACTTCTCCCACTTGTTGCACAATATACTATTTTCCTACACTCATGGAAAATTGACGTTTTTTAAAATGTCTTCAATTTCAGCTGATCTGTTCATGAAATTAGAGAGTTTCGCTTCGCTCGTCAAACTCCAAACATCGTGTGCGACAAAATAGTGTCTTATAAAACTTGCATAATAATATACTATTTTATCTCTTGGGGTGTACGAAAGGGAATCCCTAACAATGTTCGGAGAACATCGTGCGCACCTAGGGGGGATAGGGAGAGGAGGTAGGTAATGGATTTTTTGGAACTTTTGGAGATTTTAAGTTCTTGGAAATACTTCCTTCGGCAAAGAATTCCAAAGTTTTGCCGTTCTATAATCTGCTGAGGCGATGAGATGATTTCGATGAAACAGAGAAAATATTTTCGATAAATACAGGGTTTCTATAAAAGATCGCAGCGTCGTCTAGTTGTCGTTGATTTATTTTTTCCATTAGTTGATTGAGTACTTTATGTTATTTACTAACACAGATCAGTCACGTATCAAAGAGAAAGGGCCATCGATATGGGAAATTAGGTTTCCTCCATCCAGCATTTTCTTCATGATATCCTTATTCATATATTATTCTAATAATTGGAAAATTTTCCATCAACGTTACCAGAAAAAAGAGATAATTCATCAATTATTCGCAAATGGAATTGAAAATATCAACATCAGATCATAAAAGGTGCTGTAATCAACACTAGTTGAAAATTTTTACTTCAGTCAATGAACGCCCAAAAAGGGGGTGCAGCAATTAATAGCTTGACCTTTTACAAATTTGTTCGGAAAACATATCAGTGTCACAAAACAGCGGTCGGGTTCACACGTGGGAGGAAAGGAAAAATGGTTTGAGCGGAAAAGACATTAGCCTTCTTCATTGCCAATTCGATATTTACGATTTCGTATTACATGCGAATGATGCGAACATTTCATTCCTTTCAGTGTTCAGAAGTTCATTTATGTGAAGTAATTCCACAAATGTATGGCGGGAAGAAACAGTCTATAACCCAGATAACACACATACATCCATTGGATGTCCATTTTGAATCCATTAGGTAGCCGGATGTCCATGGATGTCCAATGGACATCCATTGTGTATATGTACAATGGACATAGAGATTTGTACATACAATGGACATCCATTTTGTAGTTGTACAATGGACAACGAAATTTTTACAGCCAATGGATATCCATCATACTTATCCAATGGAAATCGTTTCGCAAAGTATATATATGTGTCATTTATGACTCTTCTATTTCAATTGAAATATTTTTACCAATAATATATAATATATATATGAACATTAATCACGGACAACTTCGCACTCGGTACTATTTTTCAAGATTTTATACGTCTCATCATTTTTGTAGGTTACGTACCTATATAGAGGTAGGTACTTATTTTAAAGTTGATTTTCATCCAATTTCAATTTTAAACCATTCAGGCCGTGCAAATAAGATCGATATGGGCAAATATTATACGGCGAGTTTCTTTCGAAAAAGATGAATCACCCTGTAACACTTTTGATAAGGGCCGTGTAAAAGCTTTATTGCGGCACTAAACTTCAGCAAATTGCATTTTCTCTCGATGTGAAATACCGTGAATACGAGATACTTGCTATAATATTTATAACAGCTCAGTGGTCCAGAGGTTAGCGTTGTGATCCACGAGATCGGGGTCGGGAGTTCAATCCCCTCAAAGGACAACTTTTTTTTAATTTCTACGTTCTGGCTGGACAAAATTTGGATATCCAATGGAAATCCCATGTATTCCTGATGAGTATCCAATCGACTTATCATTGGAATGGACATAAGTTGGATTTTTGGTAGACATCCATTAGAGTTCTGATGTGTATACAATGGTATTTCAAATGTAATGGACATACAATGGATCTTCATTGGGAATCCATTGGATGTCTGATGAGTATCCAATAGACTTCCAATGGAAAGGACAAATATTGGATGTCCAATGGAAATCCATCAGATGTCTAATGGAAAGCCAATGGACTTCCAATGTATGTCCAAACTGTTGGACATGTATTATCCAATGGATGTCCATTGGACAAATACTGGACAATGCCGTCCATCCAATGGATGTCCAGGGTATCCATAGCTGGACATCCATTGGTTGTCCAATGGATTCACTTGTGTTGTCTGGGAAGAGGATAGTCTTTTCATTATTTGAAACTCGTAATCTACATCTATATCTACAGGAAGATATTTTTTCATGGTTCAAAAAGCTATTATTCGCTACACAAACTTTTATATTGAAACTTCCAATGAAACCTAACAAACTTCAAATAATATTAGGTAATGATGTCAATTTCTTCTTGATAACGGTCACAGATGCGTTAAAATCACAAGAGACAAAAAAAACTATATAAACAAAACAAAAGATTTATTTCGTATTTCAGAACCTACAATCGGCTTGACCCCCGAAATAATATATCTTCCTGTAGATTTTTACAATCACTCGGCATAACAGGGTAATGTAAACCCTGAAACGTAACCTACATGCTTCAAATCATATTTGAATATCTCGAAAACTGAAGGAGCCCTAGAGAAAAGAAAAGAAAAAATCGTTCTGTAACGAAGCGGCTAACACATATGTCCGTGTAATTTTTTATTGAAAACTCCATCATTTTGTGTTCACCTAATGTCAGTGTCAATTTTGATTACCAATTTCATTTAAATTACTAGGAACGTTGCATAGCAACACACTTTTTTTGTCTAGGCAGAAAAAGTACAGTTTCCTACCTGTCAAGTGTCAGAAAAAAGCCAATTTCTATACCGCTTGGAGTAAAAAATATTATTTCGACCTGAAAAATAAGCCCGTGAAATCCCCTATAGGGTGTCCCGAAATTACATAGAAAGATTACAACCAAAGATTTTAGAAACAAGAATAGTTAAAACAGTTCATATATAAACATGGCCCCTGAGGGGTTATAGCTATCTGAAGGATAGCCCAAGATGTTGGTTTTCTGTAAATATTTTCAAAACTCTACTGTGATGAAATAACCAAATTTTGTACATGTACAGTCGCATTCAAAAAAAAGCGTACAAGTATATTACAGAGAGAAATTACCGTCATCCTATTCTGCATAAAACGGGCTATCGGGAATGATTGCTTACCAAATGTTGACAGTAAAGTTGTCATAGGTTCTCAAAAACACAAAGCATTGGCTGAGCCAGTTTTACACTAGGATCCCGAAATCCTCTCTTTTTATTACTTGTACGCTTTTTCATTGAATACGACTGTACCTGACTCATCATATGCCCAATTTGAAAAAGTTCTTTCCCCAACTTCTCTGCTTTTGGAAACAATTTTAGACAGTTTGAGCAGGTAATAGAAGACTATCATTATTTTGACTTAGAAAATTATACTCTCGTTTAGTTTCGATAGCACTCACTATTCCCCAGATCAATCGATTTCAAAAGTTTGCTGTGTTAAATTAATAATACTTTTTCTTAATAGGGTACCTACCATATTATTTTTCAATTTATTCTTGTTATTGCACCCCTCATATTCAAATCAAACATAAGGAGAAGATTTTAGAAGGGGTAGGTATGTTCCATCAAACCATGATTTTTTGAGGAATTCGGTACCCTATTACGGAAAAGCACTATTTTTATTACACAGCAGAATTTTGAAATCGATTTATCTCGAGAATGATGAATGCTATCGAAACTAAACAAGAGACTACCTATACCATAGTTGAGAAAAAAATTGAGATTTCCATATTCCCAGGTCCAACTGCCAACAATTGTACAAACAAAAAAGTTCGGAGAAAAAGTGCCCCTGTCCCCACGTATTTTCCATGCCGCTGATCAAAATTTCGAAAAATTCCTAAAATTTCCAAATCGGGCATAAAAAGTTAGAAAGGGGTTTTCGAAAATATTGACACAATACCATCATCAGTCACTCACTATTATCTTCGGATAGGGGTGACTGAATTCCGCCCTTTCACATATTGTTTCCTTAATTTTTGTGTACCATCGATGAATCGATGATCTGATTATTTTGTAATTCGGGCAATATGAATAAAGACATATTATTATTATTATTGTCATTATCATCATCATCTCAGGCACCGAACATAAACAGAGACTCGGGCTCTCCTTCAGATGACTATGACCCCCCAGTGACCCATGTTTATATCAACTTTTTTTACTATTTCTGTTCTTAGAATCTTTGATTGATATCTTTCCATGTGATTTCAGAACACCCTGTATATTTTCCATTTTTGCGATTCTAGATCCGTCACACCGAGCCGCAGCCGTAGCCGTAGCCGCAGCCGAAGCCGCAGCCCCAGCCCCAGAAACAGCCAGCACAGTCAGCAAAGCCAAGAGCCGTCGCGTCCCCAAGCGCTGCCACTCGCCCTTTCGCACCCTCTCCCGCCTCCCAAGCAAGTTCTTCACGGCGACTCCAAGCGGCCGGATACGTTGCGGCCGCACAACACTTTGGGTGAGTAGCAGATTAGCGCAGTCGTGGTGAGATATTGACAACACCGTGTTGCCATAATTCGAGAGGTCCTACTCTTAAAGTTCAGTGACCTAACATAACCTCCCGCCGTCCAAGTAGGCGCATCACTGCGACATCAAGAGGCTGGATACACACTTTGGGCATAGATCTAATTGTGTAATTAGATCTATGCTCTGGGTGAGTAGCGCAGCCGTGGTGAGATATTGGCAACACCGCGTTGTTATGATCCGAGAGTCCATGCGAAAATCCTACTCCCTAACCTAACCTCCCGTCATCCAAGCAGGTGTATCACCGTGACACCAAGCAGCTGAATACGCTGTACAAGACTTTGAGTGAGTATATCGCAGCCGTGGTGAGATATTGGCAACACCGCGTTGCCATGATTCGAGAGTCCATGCAAAAGTCCTACTCCTAACCTTACCTAACCTCCCGCCGTCCAAGCAGGTGCATCACCGCGACACCAAGCGTCTGAATACGCTGCGGCCGCACAACACTCTGAGTATGTTGCGCAGGCGTGGTAATATTTTGGCAAAACTGCGTTGCCATGATCCGAGAGTCCTTGCGAAAGTCCCACTCCTAACCTAACCTAACCTCCCGCCGTCCAAGCAGGCGCATCACCGCGACACCAAGCGTCTGGGTATGCTGCGACAGCAAAACACTTTGGGTGAGTAGCGCAGCCGTGATGAGATATTGGCAACACTGCGTTGCCATGATCCGAGAGTCCATGCGAAAGTCCTACTCCTAACCTAACCTCCCGCCTTCCAAGCAGGTGCATCAGGGCGACAACAGGAAGTCAGATATGCTGCGACCGCACAACACTTTGGGTTAGTAGCTCAGCCGACGGGGCTAACGGGCGAACGAAGTATTCTGAAGTATTCTAAAGTATTCTGAAGTATTCTGAAGTATTCTGAGGTATTCTGAAGTATTCTGAAGTATTCTGAAGTATTCTGAAGTATTCTGGAGTATTCTGAAGTGCTCTGAAGTATTCTGAAGTATTTTGAAGTTTTCTGAAGTATTCTGAAGTAAACTGAAGTATTCTGAAGTATTCTGAAGTATTCTGAAGTATTCTGAAGTATTCTGAAGTATTCTGAAGTATTCTGAAGTATTCTGAAGTATTCTGAAGTATTCTGAAGTATTCTGAAGTATTCTGAAGTATTCTGAAGTATTCTGAAGTATTCTGAAGTATTCTGAAGTATTCTGAAGTATTCTGAAGTATTCTGAAGTATTCTGAAGTATTCTGAAGTATTCTGAAGTATTCTGAAGTATTCTGAAGTATTCTGAAGTATTCTAAAGTATTCTAAAGTATTCTGAAGTATTCTGAAGTATTCTGGAGTATTTTGAAGTACTCAGAAGTATTCGGAAGTCCCCGTTCGCCCCATTAGCTCCATTAGCCCCGTCGGGGCTAACGGCACTAATGAGGCTAATTGGCGGGCTAACTAGTAATATGGCGGGGCTAACGAGTCAAATTTGTCACGGAAATGTCACTGAGACGTAACGGAAATGTGACGGAAATGTTATGCATGTTTTATCATGCCTGTCTCGAATTATAGCAGAGGATTCTGAAATTTATACCCTGTTTAATTTCTATTCAACTCAAACACCCAGTATATTACACTTTTTTAATCCTGTCATTGTAGATGTGTTATTTCCGTTTTTATCAGCAGCTCACGGTAAGCTTGCTAGTCGGAGACGGGTGACCTTGAAAGGGTTCAAAAATTCAGAAATACAACTGATGGAAAAGGTGTAAGAATGGTTGAGATTGAAATATTCCAATTCTAATGAAGCAAAGTCAGGGCCCCGAATATATCATGGAGATGTAGATATAAATTTGAGTCCAATGAGAGCAGAATTGACACATAAATGGGAGACAGGAGACAGTACTTACTTTGCAGACATCAATTTTCCGTCTCTTCTCGTATTTTACGATCTCATCCATTTCGAGTCTTGGAAATATGCCAGTTTTAGAATGCAACGTAGACTCGAACAAACAGAACTGAGAAAAGTGAAAAGTGGCCTGAAGCGTCCTCAAGATTAACTTTCCCATTCATCAGAAGTCTCGCGTAGATTTTGCGTTTCGTATTTTCTATTGTTCTGATTCCAATATTCAGAGCAATTCAGAGGATTCTTCAGCAGCTTGGGAACGTTCTTTCAATAGCCATCTGATTTCTATAAAGGTCTCACAATATACATCATGTTTCACATTGAGTGACAACAATTCATGTCTGTATTTTTTAGATCTTTTTTTTAATAAACAAGGTGATTCAAGATTCGATGTAAATATTCTAAGGACATATTGTTGGGATTTTTTCATATGAACATGAAACCCCCAAAACTGGGTTCATATAATTTTGGAAGTCAAAGAAGAAGGAGGGTGCCTATAGAAACAGGAGCATGCCTATTTTCAGATGATTTAATCCGTTATCATGATCACAATTTCACATAATCTTTTTTTACCCAACTTACCGTAGCTGTAACTCGCTGAGTCTTATTTTGATCCTGACAATACGTCCTCAAAATACTTACAACTAATTTCGAATCAGCCTAATTATTCCGAACTCCTCATCTTGGTTTGTATATTACTTTGAGTCTCTTTTATATTCTACCACGATCATAAATGAGACGACAAAAATTACAAAAGCGTATTATGTATATGTACATTAAGTATTCATGTTTTTCACGAATCAAACAAATCCCAAGTTTCAATATCGTAATTTATACAGAAGGTATATATATTTTTAATTTTTCATCATTTTGCCTGATTTTTTGACTGAATCTCTATGAAAAATAGGTACCTATTCTATTTGAAGATTGTTTTCTAGAACATGAAAACTTCTCACTAATGATTTTAAAAATCAAATAACCTTATTTATTGTTATATGTTTTCATTATTTCATTATTGCTTCTTTTGTACCTAGTAACCTAGTGAAATAAGCGATGTTTACTGAAGTTGAACGATGTTTATTGAGGTTAAACAGAAAATTTCTTATTAGATAGGTACCTAACAATAGAAACTCACGATAGAAATATTGCGAACATTCAATTGAAGCTATATCGGATACGAACACTTGTATAAAATAATAGGTGAATTCAAAATATTGCCATTTTCTTAGGCATACATTCAATACAGATTAATTGAAAATAAAAGAAAAAAAGAAAGAAAACTGCTGGGAACAGTTCTGATTCTTTCTAGAAAATGTTGCTTCCTATAGTGCAGCTGTTAAGATAGAATATTCCAATGAATTGTGCACTTTTTGATGAAGGCACAAAATTTGGCAAAGAGGTACACCGGCCAACTGCCCCCTGGCGACCGTGGTGGCCATTTTCTAAAATGGCCGCCCGAAAGACATCGGCAGTTAGATAAAGTTTGCTGCTGGAGGTTTGTGAAAGTTTATTGAATGTTCCGAATGAAATCATGCCTTTTACCAGTTATGTTGTACCGGGTCTCCACGTAGTGTGGAATAGCTCTATGGCTCCATTGCATTGAGAGAGAAAATCTTTGGGGATGTTGTACATGTACAATAACGTTAGCTCTACCATAGATATAAATATACGGTTCTACAAAGATAAATTATTTCGATCTCTACAGGATATTTTTCAAACGCGGGGCTACAAGACTGATGATTCTCTTAAAAATTGTAAACCAAGCATCTTCTCACATATTTTGATTAATGGTTATTTTACCTACACAAAACAAAACATTCATCTGGACCTCCTTTATAATTTATGATAATTACTTCTTCCTCGCCTTATACTTTATTTAGACTTCCTGTATCCGCCATTAAGCTATGGTTGTTTATTCCCCATGTAAAATAATGATGAAATATTTGTGTATTCTATATTTTTTTTGCACTCAAATACTGTTGATGAATTTGAATTCCTTTCGATGATCCTATATGTCCTAAGAGATTCATTTGATAGTTATATTTGTATTTTAGGACTAATCCTGAATTATTTATCATCAATATATACGCTTCACGTATATTCAAACTTACATTGAAAAATAGGCAGTGTAACGATATGTGAAAATTACAAAAAATGTGTTTTCTGCCTCTTTTGAAATGTTACCTTTTCATCCGTTTCAGGTCCAAACCCGAACAGATTAGGTCTACAGAGTAGGCAAGCCAGCAGCAATAGTGGCCAAAGCAATAACAGAGAATCATCATTGGATGACTCTGGTGTGGTGGACGATCATGAACCAGAAGGTGATGCTACGTCAGAAGATGTTGGTACTCACCACACACCCAGCAGCAGGGTTAGTATAATGGCACTATTAACAATCTATGAACTCTCATTCGTTTTCCTATCATCCACCGAATACCAAAGGAATATATCATTATATTTGATAAAATTTATAATCATGTGAAACATAATATTTCTGCAGAACATGGTTTTCGTAAGAAAAAATCCAATGAAACAAATCTAGCTACCTTTGTGAATAAGACCCAAGACTTCCTTTGAATTCGAGAACAGGTAGATGTTGTGTACACAGATTTTGCCAAGGCGTTTGATCGAGTGGATCATGATATTTTACTAGTGAAACTTTTATCTTACGGTCTGAGTGAGCAGTTGGTGCGTTTGCTAAGGTCGTATCTCAGTGATAGGCCACAGTAAGTTAATTTTCTTGGATACAACAACATAACAATATATATTGCAAGATCTGGAGTACCACAGGGTTCCAATCTTGGTCCTCTATTATTTTTAATCTTTATTGATGACTTTCCAATCCTTGTGACTTCTGATTGCTTATTATATGCTGATGATTTGAAACTATTTCGACCTATCAGGAACGTTAATGATTACTTTGTGCTACAAAAAGATATTGACAATATTATCAGTTGATCCAATGTTAATAAACTATATTTTAATTTTGATAAATGGGAAATAATGACTTTTCATCGATCCAGAAATCCTGACCATTACATTTATACTAAATATGGAAAATACTATTGTAGAAAAGAGGTTCCTCGATGAAGAATTTAGGGGTACACTTCACTGAAAATCTAAAGTTCACTGGGCATATAAATATTGTGAGTAGTGAAACTTTTAGAATGCTTTTAGAAACGTTCAACTTGTGAATTCAGGAATATTGAGTCGATCAAATTGCTTTATTACTATTTAGTTCGCAGCCGTCTTGATTTTGCATCCATAATTTGGGATCCACATGTTCAGGCCTTGAAAAAAGCTTTGAATTCGGTGCAAAATAAATTCTTGAAATATCTGTACTACTGTGGACACAAAGTGAATCTAAGGTTAGAATCTTACCAACTAATACGCGATGAGTTCAAAATACAACATTTAGAGCACAGGAGAATTATTAATGAAATCGTATTTATACACAAAATATTGAATAGCTCTATAGAGAGCGAGTACCTTTTAGGTCAAATAAATATTCTAGTATCCTTAAGAACACTTCGTCCAAGACTCATACTCTTTCATGTTTCGATAACAAGTTACTCTTCAATGAACAGTATTCTCCAATTTAGCCAAGTTTCGGAAGGATTTGTCGAATTCATTCTCTAAGGCTCTAAGTTACATCAGAGAACTTAACAATTAGCTCAATTTTTGCTCTATAATTAATTATTGATATCAGATCTGAGTGATTAGATTAGTTAAGTTTAGGCCAGAAAACTTGTAATTAGGTGTGTCTCAGGTGAGAGATTCTGTACCAATACCAATCGTCCGATATTTTCAGTGGCGGTACGATGTACCAGTATATCACCTGACGAAGCTACTGTGTTAGCGAAACATGTCGTGTGTTTGAAAATTTTGTGGAAATCTTATCGTTTGTGAAGTTTTTACATTTGCCATCAAGTAACGGCCGAGTCAAGCTTAAAAATAGATATAAACATATTGAAAACAAAAGTGAACAAATTGAACCATACTAGTATCGAAGCTCCAACATGAATGCATCGAGGAAGGGTAATTTCGTAGCTCTAATTTTCGCTTTTATTTCTCTTATTGCTCTTGTCATCGCTCAAACATGTTCATGGCATAACTCGCTCATTTAGATTGATCATGAAGTATTTGATGTATGGATGATTATAAATTACGTTTTGCTTCACATGCATCAGCTTCATAGTAATATAGTGATTCGTAAGTTTAATTAACTGAATTCTCGTTAACTGCCTTCGACATGGATGAATTCCAGCGAACAACATTCATACGATATTGAAATTTGTGCAACGCAAACTAATGAAAACGCTTTCCTATTCTGTTAATATCGGCATGCTGATACTTACTCATGATGCTCATAGTGGCTATGTCAACAACTTCGTAATAATATTCGAACGTATAATGACAATATTCAATGCTGTTTGCATTCTATGCATGGTGGTCAATCATTGAAATTGTCTGTTCACTATTCATAAAGTTATGTGTAGAAAAATATTCAACAAAAAGTTAAACGCAGACATAATGGCAAGTTTTCCTAATGCATTGTATTATGAAAACTTGGAATGATGATAAGTTCCATGGTTTAAGTTTGAGAATGTTTCAGCATCTTTTCTGAGAATGACATGAATTAAATGAGAAATCTCGACGATATGATTTCTTCTGCCTGGAATTTGAATAAATTCATATCTTATGGAGATATAAGTATAAGTATAAAAATGAAATCGAGAGTGTTGGAAGACGTAAGCTGTTTATGTGTGTTTAGAACAACGCTTGTCTTTTTAATATCTCAAGAGAACTTACCATAAATGTTGAAGATTGAATTTTTCAACGAAGATTCTTGGGTTTTGTGATAAAATTCATCGTTTCTTGTCGATATTCGAGACGATTTTGAATACACTAGAAACATTTGTTGGTTCATGTGTTGAGTGAATGATAATATGCTTATACAAAAACTTGGCGAAACTGAAATAAATATTTCAAACCTTGATAACTGCATCCTAGGATTATTACGTTGTTCTTGTTGATTTACATCTATTCTAATAAATCTCCCTTGATAGCAGATTATAATACTACTGATCCACAGTGGCGTGTTTAAGGGGGGAGCCAGAGGGGCCCGCCCCCTCCCCTAAGCAGGCTACACTCGAATAAAAAAACACGAAAATTCCGGTTCATCCAGTCTTATTTGATATTTATAGAAATCTACCATTTAATTATTAATTTATGATGATTGTTTTATGCTACACGGTGTGGATATTTTATACACTAAAAAACTCGTTAAATCGTTAGTTCATACCTGAAGTTGAACCACAAACAGTTGAGAAGAAGAATATTATTCTCTTCGCCCGCCGGTCAGCCTGATCGGCTGGTGGCGATCGTGTTTCCGTTTCCGTTCATATAATCGGTGGCGATCACGTGGCTGCCAAATGATCAGCATTTACTGTTCAAAGTTTTCAGTTATAGCTATAGACTGTAGAGTCGCTGAGTTAGGTAGTTGGTGGCGGTGGTAACTTTGCATGAGTAATCTCGAGTCATATCAAAACAAGAACTAAGAGCTGAAATAATAATGTGGCAAAAACGATGGGAAAATAAACCAGATTTGCCCTCTACAGCAATCGAAGCACTTTGTTTTTGGGGCGAGTTTGTTCCCTGCAATAAAGATTTTACTGCAAATATTTGTGACTCTACCTGTATCAACGGCAACAGCGGAAAGGAGGTATTCAACCATAAGACGCTTGAAAACTCACTCACTTAAGGTCAACCATGGGTGAAGAGCGTTTGAATGGTCTAACTTTACCTGATATTCACAAAGAAGTTGATTTGAATATTGAAAATGTAATAAATAGGTTCAACACAAGTAAAGCCAGACGAATGAGCCTCAACTAGACTGGTCAGGTTAAAATAATTGAACTAAAAAAATTTATAAGTATACTATTTTCCATGTTTGTTCCATATACGTATTAATAAACAATACGGATCATAACGGGTGCCAGGATGAAGCCAAAAATATGAAACAAATGAATATCCATAAGGATTTGGTGGCATGATACGCATGCGCCATGCGCTATTAAAGTAGTCATCAAAGACATGCGTTTCGGTGGACAATGACGTTTACTAGCCTTTCAATCAAAGCAGTATGTGTCTGATCGTTTCAAAACTTTTCCTTATGGATAGTCATTTGTCTTCAAAAATCGGCTTCATGTTTCGCTATGGAAACAGATAGAGATTATCCGCATTGATTATTAATACGTATATGGTTTGTTCATTGCTTAGCCAAATCAAGAAAGAATGGTTGTTCTGGTGCTGTTTCATATAATTATATTCGTCAATGTATCACGACACATTCTGGCAACATTTTTTATTTTTGCCTCGCCCCCCCCCCCTAAAGCCATTCCAAAATTGAATAAATAAAAAAATGCTGCAGTGTTGAGAGATATTTTTTATCACCTTGATTTCAAATTCCAACTGATATCTTTGGACATAGAGATTGAAATGGAGCGGTAATAGAATTTTCTACTAGAGCACAAACCATAATTCAAAACACATTATCATCATAAATAATGCTGAAATCCCTAAACAGATACAACTCTCGTAGCCTGCATACAAAAGTTATTTCTGTGGTTTTCATCCCAACTGTTGATGGACCATAAATATGCCCGCAGCTTGATATCGATCTTTGCTGTTCATTGGGATATGGAGCCAACACCTGTTACCTCGAAGCTTAAAGTAGATACCTCAGTATGCATTCGGGTGATTAAATAATCATTACCTTCAGAGAAGATATCCTTCGTATGATATATAGTCTGTAGAAAGTAGAAAACAACTTAATTATAAAAATACTGGCACTATCTGTGATGAAAAATACTTCTAAAAACCACAACAAAATTCAGAGTTTACTAGATGAATATCTGAATATGTCTATTGGTCATCTATAGTAGATTTGCGAAGTATAACTTTTTGATTAGATTAGCAAATTTCAGGAAATTATCCCGTGATATGCATTTTACCACTAATGATTATTATTACAGATTACATCCGAAACATAACAAGAAATTTTGTTCATTAATACCTATACTATTTATTTTCGATCGCAGTAGTGAAATGTTGGAAAAATGGAGAGGCTCAGCTTCATATGAGCAGTATACTTGTACTTATTTATTAGCAGCATTTTGGTAACTCAATTGTGAATATGGTACTTAAACTATATAATATACTATGACTCCTTCGAGTGAAATGAAAACCATATCTGATTATGCTCGCAATTAATCGATGACTCATTTGATCTGAGTTTGTTCCATAAATAATCACTAAAGAGGCATAACTTGAGAAATTGATGATCCAAACTTTATTTTTTACAGAGAATAGAAGTGACCCCAGTCACCATTACAGTGCGTCCGAAAGAAATAAAAGTCATCAAGTGTAACGGTGTAGGTGGCTGCAAGAAGAAGGAAATGTACACTTTGCAGCCAGACTATCTTTCGCACATTGTGGTCATAAGTAAGTGAAATTTTCTAGAGCCAGAACATAAAAATTTACTTCAAAATATTTCTCGGTCAAATGTTATTTCAATTTCATGTTTCTGCATTTATATCACAACTAGGAGTGTTCCAACTCGAAGGGAAAAATTAATTCAAGTTTGTCAAGATCGTATTTTTTCGGTACCTATCGTAAATGGTCGATCGTTGAGAGCATCCATATTGTGAATTCTGATGCAGCTAGAGATGATAAGAGTTGCAGATTTCTACATCGACAAATCCTACGCTTCGGACAAGTTTTCCTGAAATTGTACAGTGGCGTTTCTTCGAGGATTTTATTTTGGTTGAATATCATAACTTCTCGAGTACTGTCCCAAATGGTACACTGATATAATTTATTTTTGCGATCTAACAGAGACTTCTTCGACTGAACTATACTTACATATTGTCCCAGGATACTTAAAAAACAAACGAAAATGTTTTCTTCCGAGTAGAGTGTCTAAGCCAGTTCTGAGACAATGCGTGAGAATTCTTTTTCTACTGACTGAAATTTCTTGATTTCAACATGAAGTTACAGTTTTTCACACTGAGGAATCCTACGCATCATCAGACCTGATCTCCTGAAATTGTGCTGTGGCGTTACCTCGCAGATTTTATTTCGAATAAATATCATAAATATACTCGAATAACTCAACTCTGCAAGCACTTCCTCAAATAGTGAATTTATATTCATTGTTATTTTCTATACTTACTTATCATTCGCATGTGTTCGAAAGAATATCAATAATATTTATTTTTGCGAGTAGAGAGACTAAGCCAGTTCTGAGACACAGCGTGAGAATCCACTTTGTCTCTCTACTCTACTGTCTAACAATACCTGATATTCTCGTAAAGTTGCAGATTTAAATACCGACGAACTCTACGTATCGGCCCTGCTATCCTGAATTTATTCAGTGGCATTTCCTCGTAGATTTCAGTTTGAATAATCATCATAAATATCCTCGGATTACTCCAAAACTTTCCAAGCACTTTCCCAAACGATAAACTGAAGTTTTTTCCGCAATCTCATATAGATCATCGTGTATAGGTGATCTAAATTAAATTATATTTGCTTACATATTGTCTCCGAATGTTTGAGGAAAATCAAGAATATTATTTTTGCGAGTAGATGGACTAAGCCAGTTCTGAGACACAGCGAGAGAATCCACTTTGTCTTTCTACTGTCTCAATTTTTTCGTATCTTCATGAAACCTGAATTTCAAAACGATAAGCCTGCTTGATGATGATAATGATAATTTATAATAAATCGCAAATCGATCGAATTGATGAGATACTTATTATTTTGAGCAAGTATCTCAAGCATCAGGTACTCAATAGAATGTCTGATCCTATACTGGTCAGTGTTTTTTTTTGTTCCATTGTAGATACTTCTTTTCCGTTTGATATTGAATATTGGTAGAAACCAAAACCAAATTTTATATTGATGAGATTGAAACAATTTCAATAAGAAACATGTATTGACTATTTCAAATCCCTAACAGTTGATTTTTCTCTAGATGAGCAAATACCTGACAGAAATTGTTCGGGCTGCGAAAAGTGCTGCATGGACTACGAAGGCTGGCTGCAGTTCCAGCAGGGGCTCTACCAGATCGTCCGGGATCCTCTCTTCGAACTCGCAATCACCGTGTGCATCGTCCTAAATACGATGTTCCTGGCCATGGAACATCACGGAATGAGCGAGTCTGTGCTCAGAGCGTTAGATATAGGCAATAAGGTAAATACCAAACTGAACATGAAACAACATACAGGAAATGCTCTGATATTGTCATGAAAATACTCTCAGAATTCTAAATGTCGGAACACTATCGGAACTGGTATAAATAAGGCGGAAGCTACTCTAAAAGTTGAAGACGTGCTATATTCGCCTGGTTCATGATGCCACAAATACAAGTTCCTTAACATCTTGGAAAATTCCTTGAAGAACTTCCTGTAGAAATCTCCATCCCTATCAAGAACAGTTTTGTCTTCAATGTCGAGATTACGTCAATAGATCAGCAAATATTTGTACGGCCTTATAAACCGTCACCTTGTACATTGTTTGTTCGGAGTTTTCAGTCAATATATGACTCTTTAGTTTTATATTATAATGAAGATTACTACTGACCTACTTTCCGTTATTGAAACTTCTCTTGTTCCAGGTTTTCACTTCCATTTTTACGTTTGAGTGCTGTTTGAAAATCATGGCACTGAGTAAAGACTTTTTCTACTGTGGATGGAATATTTTCGATTTAATAATAGTGTCTGCCAGTCTGCTCGACCTCATATTCGAGCTCGTTGATGGATTGTCAGTACTACGGGGTCTACGACTTGTAAGTGTTTACCTATCTCAATATAAATACAACGAAAGACATACTCAATACCTACTTTATTTTCAGCTCAGAGTGCTCAAACTAGCGCAGTCATGGATAACTATGAAAGTACTCCTGAGCATAATCATCAGCACGATAGGTGCTTTAGGGAATTTGACTTTTGTTTTAGTTATTGTTATTTATATTTTTGCGGTGATCGGAATGCAGCTCTTTGCTAAGGATTACACGGAAGAAAAGTTTTTTCCTGATCCTGTTCCAAGGTAAAATCATATTTCAGTAGAACTATATTTTAAAAACGTTATTGTGAGTAGTGATTGATTCGGATAGGCCATACTCACTTGAACAAGTAAGGATATTGCTTGTCTGATCATAACCCTACTACATAGTGTCATCGCTTCCTTCTGATAATATAACCGTATTCATTTTCAGGTGGAATTTTACGGATTTTTTCCATTCGTTCATGATGATTTTCCGTATATTGTGTGGAGAATGGATTGAACCTTTATGGGACTGTATGAGAGCTGAAAAAACTGAGGTTAGTTTTCAAGTTTCTCATATCTTACTCAGATACAAAAAATCGTTCTGTTTAGGGACCTGGTACCTGTTTGGCTGTGTTTCTTCCAACCCTAGTGATGGGTAATTTTATGGTGCTCAACCTCTTCTTGGCTTTGCTACTTAACAGTTTCAATTCAGAAGAACTTAAGACGAGAAAGGAGGTATTTGATATTTTCTTCCAGGCAAGTTACTTTTTATATTTGCATGGTTTTTGCTGTGTTCAACCTCTGAAGATTGATTTCATCTACTTATATTACTCAACAATTATTCACTGATACGTACAAATAAATCCCATCGTAAGTTGATGAAATCAGTCAACATGATATATCAAAAAATGTCATGAATATTTACTTTTGCATGCCTCGTTTGTTTCTACTAATAGCAGAATATATGTATCTATATTTTGTATACATAGACAATAGAGGTGAGTTTCAAATGAGTATTTTTAATCATTCTCGTAACTTTTAGCGTAATTTTTCCCGTTTTATTCTCAAATAATTCTGACCTGTCGTTAAATCCTTAACCTAATTTTAGAATATCATATAACACATATTTTATCGAAAATATTCGGAAAAATGGTTCAGAATATTTGAATATTGAACGAATAGAAACCCTCTAGTTATGGAAAGATTTGATCACTTCTTCACTCTCAATGTGGATCTTTTCGACCAAAGAGGTCAAATGACATGAAATGAAGATAAATATCAATTCTACCGCAACTCTGACCTCACGTTTCAGTGGCGCGATGTGGTGAACAATAAATAATGATAGCTTCTCTTACCCCTCTTTGCAGCCGAAATACACCTAATTTGTTTAAAATGATTGGTAATTGATAAATGAATAAATTAGCGGCGCATGAGATGATGAAGACTTTGATGTACATACATGACCTTCTTAATTAAATTCTGTATTTTCGTCAAACCTTCGTGAACTACGCAAAAATATGTCCATCGCTTAATATGACCATTGAATCTTTATCGGTTCTTTAGTGATAAAGGCCATTTATTCTCATTTAAAACTTTGACGCCTCTATCTCTAAAACGAAGCGATATCAGTAACTTATGGCCATACTAACTTTTTGTAAATTTGATCGAGTAGGTACCTATTCTCCCGACCCGTAATTCTGTTGTGCACCATTTCAATGATACAACCGGTATATCATCGTCTCGTTTTTCACGCTGCTTTATGTGTAAGCACTCAGAAAGTAGCTACTTTAACAAAACGATTTCGTGATGCAGGAAGTAGGCGACGTTTCGAAATTAGCCCAGAGCTTTCAGCGGATCAGGGATCTAGTGAGGAAACGCCGGATGGCAGAACAAAGGCAAAACGAGAACAATTCCCGTCTGGAACAGATAGTGAGGGAGGTGATGCAGCGACACGCTGAAGAGGAGGCTTTCAGGACAGGTATGTGGCTGGGGAGGTTATCAATTTCAACTGTGGTAGATTAAACCCCTTTCACAAAATGACTCTTTCATTCTTGATCGCATTGGAATTATATTGAATAAGTGATGCTTTGGAAATAACATCAATATCTAAACGTGATGGTGAGAGGGGTGCACTTGGTGCAGGGTATGTGGCTGGGGAGGTTATTAATTCAAGCTGTGTTAGAATAAGCTCTTTTCACAAAATGACTGTATTGCCATACTTGCTCGCATTGGATTTATATTGAATAAGTGATGCCTTGGAAATAATGATATCGAAACGTATGTAATGGTGGGAGGGAAAATAGGCTTTGTATTGTAGGGTACATAAGGGGTGAATACACTACGACGAATAAGGTATATTGTGCCCCCTCTTCTTTTGCTATACCCAATGAGATTGTTCTCCGTTGCTATAGTAATTCAAGATATAAGGTAATTCTAGGTAGGGTAGCTCCTTCTCTTTTGTGTTCCTAGGTTTCTTGCCCTTGGATTTCATAGGATGACACATTCCGTAATTATGTGGATAGAAGTTTCCTTCTCCTCCCTAACAGAACCTACATTTATATATTCATCTTCTTAGCCGAGCTTCCTAAGATGTCCTTTCAACCGGCAGTGCTCTGTTCGGAGTTTTCATTAGGATGTAGGTACCATTTTTGTAATTATTTCTGATATCAGAAACGTTATTAGAGTTCGTGTTTCCTCGAAATGATTCTGAAATTATTCAATTTTCCATACTCCTTGCTGAAATGGAAGGTATCATCTTTGAAAAGCAAAATTCACAAACTTATTTATGTGTCATACATATATTTATAAAACGTTTAACCACTCAAGAGATTACTATATCAGTTCATTTTTGCACCTTCGAGAAAATTATCCACTGAAATAAAGGAGCCTGTCAATATGTTACAACTTAATTTGAGAAGTACCTACCATGTGACCATTTTGTCAGTTGGATCTAAAATACAGAAGTAACAGCCACAGTTTACTTCAACTCCGGGGAATTGAATTGATTCCTGTTCTGGACCAAAACTTATTTTTTGTCAACCTTATTGGGTACGAAAAATGTTGAAACAGCTTGACACAAAATTATTTTCGAATGTTACGTCTTCAGATGCGTATAGTATGCGGAAAATATGTTTCCAAGTCAGGTAGTTATACGTGACAGGATTATGCCTTAAGGCTTGAGGCATGACATGGAATCTCTACCTGCTAGGTATTTATTTTAAGGAGGATTACATTCTAGTCATGTATCTATCGTATATCGATTCAAGTTTCTTCTTTCACCTTTGGTAGACTTAAGGGAAGAAATTCAATCCTTACACGTGGATTCTATTTTCTAGAATCGATGCAATACATCACATATCCTACAATGAACCTCTTCATTTGAATAATGACAATTTCAATTCTATAGGCGTCAACATTTTCATTAATACTAATACATGTTTGGCTTTACAATTCAATGAGTACCTATATTTTTTAGCAGAAAAATCCCACACTATAGTTGGATTTCCAAGGGATAAACGCAGCTACCAAGAAGCAATGAATAGACCGATCTCAATCATCAGTTACGATCCCCCAGAGTATCAGGTAATCTACTATAAAATTAATAGTGACAACAGTGCATATATTAGCTCGTCCTTTTATAACAGTTCGTAATATTTGCAGGAGAGTTTTCCAGAAAACGAAACAGGCACCAAAACCTCCAAATTATACTCGAGTCTAATGAACACATCAGGAGACAGCGGAACACCAGTCACTAAAAAGAAACCTGTTGACATTAAACGTTTGCAACAGATGTCTTCAGAATTAGGAACCACAAATAGCAGCAAAGGTATCGGAAATGGGCCTTTCTCTGAATTTAGAAAAAATAATATTCCACCACCTTCCATTCATTTCTGAAAATCAGGTCTTTGCATTGAAACTTATCAACTTATTTCAGATTAACTGTTCTACAACTCAATAACCTCAAAGCTTCAGATCACAGAGAGCGAATTATATGCTCTCACTACAATGGTATCATTAACAATAACATTTTCCTTCAATACTGCCTCGATATTGTTTCGCATATCTATTTCGGCTAGTGAAAAACACAACTCTACTACTAACAACTAGAGAATTATTATATTTCTCATTCTACTTCTCGGTTGATAAGTAGCGCTCGAAGTTTTTTATTCCTTCCCTAGCAACATTTCTGGATATTCTTGCCGAAATATGATGCTAGTTCAATATTTTCATATATAATGCAATTATTGCTAACTAGACAACACTGAAAATATAGGTTTATCATGAGAGATCGCTGCACCGTCCATAAAACCTCCAATAACTCGAGGTGTACTCGATTCTCCCACCAATTATGGAAATAAAATTCCTCGTTCATTCCAGGTCTCCAGGAAGACCAAACAGTTCCCTCCGCAAGGTTTTTTCTCAGACTGTGATATCACCCATTACATTCATAATATGATTTTGAATTCAACAGCTATAATTCAGTTTGCTGACAGGTACACATAAATATCTTGCAATCAAGTAAATTTGAGTACCATTGTAGCGATCCATCAGCCTCCTATATTTCAGACACTTTCTAAACCACATGATGTTGGGCACCTTCAATTATTATTTAGCAAATGCAATCACCTTCTAGTAATGGGGGATCGGTTGTAATGAAGCCTATTGTTCTGAATTGAAATGTCTTGAATACCATTTGTACACAAGTAATGTTTTAGATGAAAGTTCGAATTTGATTCCACAAAGCAATAATCGGTCGACTGAATCTGAAAACGAAGAGGGTGTAGGCCAAAAATCGAAAAACTGTGATAAACCCAAAGCGCCACCTGCTAGTGAAATGCCTTGGCAGACATTGGTGTCCTACGTAGATGATTTAACTGTTGGAGGAAGAAGAAATTCCAAGGGACAATACGTAGATGCAATGGGTAGTTTCCCAGGGTTTGGGAAGAAGAAAAAATCTAGAATAGCTCCCGACTGCTTCCCATCCAAAGTTTACGAAAGGTAGGAATACTATTGCTCAGAAAATTGTCGATTGATGATTACCTACCTCCTGATTTTCCAGGTGCACTTGCTTGAATCGGTGTACGGATACAAAAATTGGCAAGAAATGGACCCAAATGAGAAAACTTGTCTTAGGCGTTGTAGATACTTCAGCTTTTGAATGGTTCATACTCGTATTAATTTTCGCTTCGAGCGTTACTCTTTGCTTTGAAGACATTCACCTAGATGAAAGCCCAGAGCTGAAGAAGGTGTTATACTGGACGAATTTAGCGTTCTCCGTTATTTTCATAATTGAGATGTTCCTGAAGTGGATTGCTTTGGGTTTTTACAAATATTTCACTAGTTTCTGGACTCTATTAGATTTTCTCATAGTATTCGTGAGTAAAACTATTTCAAATTATATTGATTCCTATCAAATAGGTATTTGTCAAATTGTTTGAAATTCTTTTCAGGTGTCCCTATTCAGTTTACTTATCGAAGAAAACGAGAACCTGAGGGTTCTTCGTTCCTTGAGGACCTTGAGAGCCCTAAGGCCCCTTAGAGCAATAAGCCGATGGCAAGGCATGAGAATAGTAGTGAACGCACTCATGTACGCCATACCCAGCATCTTCAACGTACTCTTAGTCTGTCTTGTGTTCTGGCTGATTTTCTCCATAATGGGGGTACAATTTTTCAGCGGAAAGTTCTACAAATGTGTGGACGATGAAGGCGAAAGATTGGATGTTAGCGTAAGTACAAAGGCTTTCATTAGTCAATCTGTGAATCATAAGTCATTACAAACGTTCAATTCATATTTATAGATTGTGGAGAATAAGTGGGAGTGTGACAATAAAAACTTTACCTGGATGAACTCGAAAATATCCTTCGATCACGTGGGGGTGGCATATTTAGCACTATTCCAAGTAGTAAGTTACCTCAGCTTCATTCATATTGCTTTATTGATTCTTATTATTAATACTTTCATATTATTAATGAAGACTGGACAGTGGCCCTAACTTGGGCGCCAAAATGAATCATATTGATCGGGAAGAATTGTTCTTCGAACTTTTTTGTATTAGGTATAATAGATCAAATTTCTTCTCCCCATTGTAGAAAAAAAAGTAAACAAAATATTTTAAATATTGATCTTTTTTGTAGGCCACTTTTGAAGGATGGATGGAAGTCATGGCGGATGCAGTAGATGCCAGAGGTGTCGACCTCCAACCTCAAAGAGAAGCCAATCTTTATGCTTACATTTATTTTGTTATATTTATTGTTTGCGGTTCATTTTTCACCCTGAACTTGTTCATAGGTGTTATCATTGATAATTTTAACATGCTCAAGAAGAAGGTGAGATCATTCATCGTTGCGAATAGATGTGACTAAATATTTCATATATTTCAGTACGAAGGTGGTGTGTTAGAAATGTTTCTGACCGAAAGTCAAAAGCATTATTATACAGCAATGAAAAAATTGGGGAGGAAGAAGCCCCAAAAAGTGATAAAGAGGCCGATGAATCAGTGTCTGGCCATGTTCTACGATTTATCGAATTCGCGAAGATTCGAAATAGCAATATTCGTGTTGATATTTTTAAATATGGTATCGATGGGTATCGAGCATTATGGCCAACCACATACTGTGTTCTTCATTTTGGAAGTTAGCAACGCATTTTTCACAACCGTATTTGGTTTAGGTACGTGAAAACTAATATTTATTGTCAGAAGACGAAGATTTTCTTTTCACACATTCAAATCCTCTCAAACTTGTAAGTTGTGTTGTTAAGACCCATTACTATACAGTCTATATAGGTACTGTTAATGTTGAGAGCTTTTCGAGATCAACGGTAATCCTAACTTCTGATAATAATATGATCGTAATATCTTATTTCAGAAGCAATAGTGAAGATGATTGGGTTACGACACCATTATTTCACAGTTCCATGGAATGTATTCGACTTCTTATTAGTTTTGGCTTCCATACTCGGTATTCTCATGGAAGATATTATGATAGATTTTCCAGTATCACCAACCTTACTTAGAGTAGTTAGAGTATTCAGGATAGGCCGAATTCTACGATTGATTAAGGTAAATACTTTGAGAGAGAGCTAGCATCAACCAATATAATTCTAATTCTTTTAGGCTGCCAAGGGTATTAGGAAGCTCCTGTTTGCTCTGATAGTGTCTCTGCCAGCTTTGTTCAACATCGGAGCGCTTCTGTCCCTCATAACCTTCATTTATGCCATCATAGGGATGTTTTTATTCGGCCACGTCAAGCAACAAGGGGCTCTAGACGACATGGTGAACTTCGAGACCTTCGGAAGGTCCATGCACCTCCTTTTTCGTCTGATCACTTCTGCTGGATGGAACGACGTACTCGAATCTTTGATGATCGAATACCCAGACTGTGATCCTCATTACAGAAACCAGAGCAACGGTGACTGCGGTTACCCGTTGCTATCAATGATATATTTCACAAGTTTCATCATCATCAACTACATGATAGTCATCAACATGTACATCGCTATAATTCTCGAGAACTTCAATCAAGCTCATCAAGAGGAAGAAATCGGTATCGTCGAAGACGATCTGGAAATGTTCTATATCCGTTGGAGCAAGTACGACCCTCATGCTACCCAATTCATCAGGTTCACTCAACTGTCTGACTTCATAGCCTCTCTTGATCCTCCACTAGGCATATCGAAGCCCAATACGGTGGCCTTAGTAAGTTTCAACTTACCAATAGCTAAGGGCAATAGGATACATTGCCTTGATATCCTCCATTCACTTGTCAAGCATGTGCTTGGACATGTGGAGGAGACTGACAATTTTAGACAGGTAATAACTAAGTTTAGATTATATCGGAAGCGGGGCATTTCAATATCAATTGTTTTTTTTTTCAGCTACAAGAACAAATGAGTATCAAATTCAAGAAACAATTTCCAACGAGGAAGGAGCTTGAAATAGTGTCTTCTACTAGGATATGGAAGAGGGAAGATAAGGCAGCGAGGCTTATACAGAAGACGATGAGAGATTATATAAGGTAAGTAGGTATTAGCACAGTTGAAAGTTGAAAGGAAATAATTATTTCAACTGTGGTATTAGCCTAGATTTTTTCATTCGACAATAATTATACGAGGATAGATAATTAAATAATAGAGCAGACAAGTTCTAGAAGATTGATGTGAAGAACCCATGAATATATTCCCTTGATATCCATGAACATATCAATATTATTAATGTTTCTGAATATCTTGCAAGTTAAATATGATACACTTCTATTCGTCTGATTGAAATTTGGTAGATGTACATAATTTTGTGAACGAAAAACACAAAATGACTGCTCCAAACTGGCAGATGAGTTTTGTAAGTATGATGCGATTCTATCTAAAATTTGTATCTGGAGGTTCCCATCGCAACATTCTGCAGTATGTGCAATTCATTTCGTTGACACAGATATTATAGATATGATACATTTCCTCTTCCAGATCGATCAATTGGGAAAAATTTGCTAAGAAACCCACAGTTAGTTGAGACAGTAGTTTCCTCTATTTTTCCAAATTTACCATGTTATCTTTCTAAACCTTCAGAAATGTTCAGCTGTTCAAAATAAATAAAAAATAGTTGATTTTGAAGAATCCGACCTTATTAATTCTCAATTACGAGCATGTAGTTGGAGAATATGCAAAAAAATTGATAATTGATAGTTGTTGGTATAAGACAGAAAGTAAAATTAATTTTTTTTAATTAGGTTCGCAGTCAGATGTATTGAAAATAACTTCCCAAGTTGCAGTATTGAATTATATGCTGGTCCAATTTTTACTAGGTGATAATAAGTTGGGATTCAATGATTTAAAAGGAATCTTCCATATGATATGAAATTGAGTAGGTGGTCACAACTTCAGAATATTCTAGCAAGATACAGAAACAGCTCAGATCAAGATCACTCAGAGAATAATCAGACCGAAGAACATGAAATTAGCTCATTTGATGACTTAATAGAGAAGAGTTTGATATCTCTGAAAAGACTCATCTTGTGAAAATGGATTACCTCATTCTAAAAATCTTGAAATTTTGATTGACCAATTGAGACAAGTACACATTAAAAAAATATAGATATTCTTCTTCTACAATAATTCTGTCTTTTATGTTATACAACACTTCTCATTCTGTGTACGAACTCATTAAGAATTTTTTCATTTTACCTAACAAACGATACTTGCAATAACTATCTTCCAACTTGAATATTTCTCCAAGCAATAACTTGAAAGGTTGATGTAATTATGTCATGCTATTTTTTTCATTGAAGTTCAATTATTATTTCAAAGACAGAAATTGATGTTACGTTAGTGCGGTTAGCGGTAACGTACCAGCACGTACCAGTGTTTGCCGTCACCGTGGTAGCCAGTCGAGAGTAGACCAACCGGACCACGGCGATGCGGTGTTGCATTTCTCTCACCGCGGCACATTGTTGGGTATTCCGTGGCTCAGGTCATGCATTCAACAAGTGTGTTCGAAGGTACTGAAAACATCCCGCTTTCACTCTTTCAGGCACAAGAAGGAGAAAGAACGCGAACCCGACGAGGTGGACGAGACCACCCAGACCTCCTCCCCGGGCGGCGGTTGGCAAGGCCGACTGTCCGCTTTCCTGCACGTGCACCGCGGTAGTCGCGCCTCCTCGCGCAAGTCCTCGCGCGCATCCGACGCCAGCGACCTCAGCGAGCTGGGCGGGCCGTGGCTGAACCTGCCGCTGCTACTGCTCTCCAGCGCGGCCAATCTGTCGCCGGAGGAGGTGGATTTGTCGCGCGATCCGGCGGATGTTAGCATCAAGGTCAGCGAGGCCACGCCCGATTCTGGTAAGCAAAATCACTAGGCTGAGCGGTGGGGGATTTCTATTATATGGTAAGTTTCCAGACCTGGATCACCCCTTCATTTTCTGTGTAAGTGTTCGCCAACAGGTAATTAAGTGTTCGCCAACAGGTAATATCAAATAGAGGTATACATCAGCCCTATCGTCCATTCTTGAACTATATATAATTACAAAAATGTCGTCAGCAACAAAAAATAGTACCTACAAGAAACGAAAAATACAGTGCCACAATTTCACTACACATATCACAACGCTTTCCAACATTTACACTTCAGATATAATAATCACAATGCGTGATCAAAATACTACACTCAATAGTTATATCTTACATCTTATACACAAACACTGAGAAACAGCCACTATATCGAACTCTTCAGAACTTACACCGTCATTTACCCTGCTGATAACTAGATTGATATACTTGGTAAGATACAAATATTTATCATTTTTTCATCACATAGGTCTCTAATCATGAATAAATATTTGAAATGAAGCAGTGATAGTACTACTAAATCAAATGCGCAAGTTTTGCGTGGCAATGTAATTTCATTAGGGGCAGATATTCATTCATGCTGTTATACCTATAAATATATCCGATTGAACTATCTCTGTGATAAAACATGGAACATTTTCGATAGAACTGCTTCATGTTCCGGTCAAGTAAGCATTTTTATAGGTTTTTCATTATCTGGAGAGGAATGCGGTCGCTACCTACATCATTTCAGAATTGAGAAGAGAACTCTCAAATAATTATTACTCCTGTATCATTTGCTTTACGTATGCTAAACTGTGTTTTGATGTTGCAGCCACAACTCCAATCACGCCAACGCCCTCTAGCCAACCACGTCGACGCAGCATCTACAACTTCCCATTTTTCCTTCGTCAAGACGCAGTAGAGAACCCCGACGAAAAAACTTCGCCCGTCTCCAGTCGAAAAGAACTCAAACACGTCGGTACCTCCCAGAGTCTCCATCCGGGAATGGCCGAAGAACCAAAGCCGAAGCGCGGCAGCATCATAAGGCGCAAGCGCGCCGGTTCCGTGAAAGTTCGGCCGACTTCGGTGGCCAGTGGTGGGGGGTGTCAAAGAACGCAATCCGAACGGTGCAGCAGCAGTGACGTGAGCATCCTCGTCACGGAAGCTTCTCCCGAAAGTAATATAGTGCGCCCTCCTCTGAACAGACAGAACAGTGAAGCTACCGTTGTACAAGTTTTAGTTCATAGAGAAAGTGAGGAATACAATAATGAGGACCTGGAAGAAATGGATTCTTCGGTACCGGAAAACATTCCCGCTGCTAACGATAATATTTCGACTGATGTAGTTGTAGATTTAAACAGTACGGAGTCCTGCAGCTGATCTTAGCTGTAGGTTTGTTGCTTAGTTATTAGGTTTAAGGCAGTTAAGCAAATAGAGCATATTGTATTACTGCGGATCGTTTCTTATTGTAAAGACAATCAGTAGAAAAATTTTAGTATTCTGTATGAAACACGAAGTATCTTTTCTCCTCAACTGTTCCCAAGATGTCAATATACAAAAGGGCACAAATAATACATGTTAATGGAAAAACTTTTTCAAATTTGAATTAAAGTTCCCTGTAACTTGGCTATGTAGCTAGATTTTTTGATCAAACAAAGGGTCCAAACTACAACAAAAATAAAAGTAAGTGCCGCCACCCTATAAGTAAATACAGTGCGAATATTCCATGGGTAAGAGGGCGGTGATTTCCTATTTATCCAATGGCAAAATGGACTAATTTACATGCATACCTATATCTCTCACAAAGAATATGATTATTATCGATGACAATCGAATTTCTGCTTGCAGTTGGTCCAAAACAATGTTATCAACTCAGCATTCAAATTTGCTTATTGAAGTATTGCATTTATAGTCATCTTTCACGGAACTAAACTTATTATGAAATAAAAAATGTTTGCTTGGACCGTTGAGAACTATCCGTTTTGCTATTTGCGAATGAAATTTTCTTATAGAGATAGATGTTTTAAAAAGCCTAAATCTTCCAAATAAATATGTAAATACTAACATATAGCAGAGGTTACCAGACTCACACCATCAAAATATATAATTATGTCATTCTGAAATAACAGATAATTTTGTGTTATCAGTATAATGATATGAAAAATTATTTGTGTGAAAACCTAGGTCGATTACAGAGCAAACCATGATATGGAAAAAAATGTCAGTATTCTCGAGAGCAATAAGGTGATCCAAGTTAGCAGTTAATTTCGTTAAATCTCACTTCAAATAATTCAAACTATAAGCTTTAATAACATATCAATAACGACCGATTCTGATAATACTGAATAGATAAGCATATCAAATGAAAAAATGTTGCATTGAAAAGTATGGTGCGGAGTTTGGCAACCTATTTTATACAGTATGCTCTTGGATAGATAAGTTATAATTTTTTTTAATTGAACGGCAACATTTTCATGCAAACTATGATTCGGAAAACTCAATTACAATAAATTTTAATTCATAATAAATTGAAGCAAAGTTCGTCATGAATATGCCGTGATTTTTTTCATTTGTACAAAGCTGTAGGTTACATTCTAAAAAAATAAAGAAATGCCAGGCATTGAAAATTTTAATGAATATTATATTGAAGTTTGAAATTTAAAAGTTGAATAGTTGAAGTTGAGGATTATTTGATTCATTTTAATTGTTATGTATAATATCAATATGGATACAGATAATATTAAGGTCAATTATATTATATTATAATAATGAATATCGTTAATTTATATAAAAAAATTACGAGATGGTGATTGTACTATCATAAAAAGTATTAGAATAGATATTACAGATAAATATAATACAATAATATTTCCAGTGTTATTTTCCACTTCCAATATATCTTCTTGGGGCGAAACAAAGATCAAAATGTGTTTTAACAAGTAAATTATTTATTTATTGTAGTACGACCTATATAATTGACATAAAATAAAAGATTACAATTGATTCCTTTATAAACTATGATGTACAAGATTTCAAGTCTATCACAGTTGATCTAACAATTATTCATGTATTTACAAGACAGCACTATAACTTCTCTAGAAAAATTTAATCTTCTGAGAACTAACACTATTACAGTTGATCATGAGGCACATTTGTTTGTGAATCATAGTTAAAAAACATACCCTTTTAGGAACGGTACGTCAAGTTTCAAAGAAATGAGACATTCTGATTTTCAAAAAATACGAAGGAAATTATATAAATGGTCATTGTACATAGATAATATAAGCAAGTAATAAACGACTTGTTGGTAAATATAAAATTTGAAGGCTTCTGTGGCGAATAGGAACTCAAAATTTATAATTATTGATTTTGTTAATATACATTGTACATAAATAGCAAAATAAAAATACCAACTTGTAAGGAGTTATTTGAGATCCATCAAGAAATCTAAGAGATCAAAACAATAAAATATTCATATTTGATAGTGCCTGTTAGTGGTCAATTTGCTGCAGATTATATTATTATATATTATAAACCCACTTGCACGGAGAATTGCACAAAAAATCATTGAGCTGGTTTCTTATTTCAAGGAGTCAAGTGATGAGTTTCAAAATGGGTGAATAGGTATTATTGAGTGAAAAAATATCATGAGTTGCCATTTAAAGCTAGTACCAGGTAGGAAATTATATGGATGAAGATTAAAAGTAGTACAAGTTGGGGAAGAATTGCAGGTACATATGATGGAGACTCCTCCTCTCTATGCACCTGTAGCTGCATTTTCTCTTCCCCCTTGAGTTATGCTGGGTTAAACGAGTTTATAATTACACTCAAGATAAGAAATCAGGATAGTGTGGTTAACAAGAAAGATATTGGTCTGAAGCAATGTCTGAAGAAATTGGCTTCACATCTATGTTTAAAGAAAATTAGATCTCAAATATACTGAAAAAACAATGATTATAAACTGTACTACTTTGTTCAATAAATTAGAATAGTTAACTGAAAACCAATTACTTCTAAAATAGACAGTTTCAATCTTGTCCTGAAGATGCTAACTTAATTGACGACACATGTCAAAGCGTCACAAAATCCGTTTAATGATTGATGAAAGAGTTTGGTGTGACAGAAATAAAAATAATGAGTTGCCAATTGAAACTATTAGAAACTAGAATGGAATGTGATTTGAGAAGCAAAGTAAATCGAATTTGCTGATAAAGCCTATTTCGTCATATTTGATATATTTTTAGTTTTGCGAAAGCATCTTTCAAAACAAAAAATGAGCACCTTTTGAAAACGCACAGAAAAGCAGGTGTATACAGTAGGTGTTCTCCATTTGGGAAGTCTACTTTCATATCACTCACAGAAATGTCATGCTTTGTTCAGTAGGGTTATATTGTACTACTAATATAAATCTAAAGTAACACTTCGGGTAGGAATGTATTTGGTTTTGGTAAAACTACAACTAGAGCTACAGCCATTATCATGTGCCAGATGCTATGCAAATATTTATAGTTATCTTTGGTTTGCAAAAATGCATACATTACCAACCCTACAGTGACAATTCCTGCCCCAATTGGAATATTATAATACAGATATCTTCTATTTGCAAACCTGGATTTTACCGTTCGATACTTCAAATACCAGCTAATGGAAATGATGAAAAGGCCACTACAAACAGGAAGAGTGAATATCCACAAGGCAGTCTTATTGATCGTTGTGCAGAACGCTAAAATAATCGCTCCAACCATATGGAAAACTGACCTTCTCATTTCCGATAGGTCGGCGATAGCAATCAAAGTTACCCATATCGCCAAGAGAGCACAAAAAAAATCGCCGAACTGTAATGCAGATAAACGTACTAAGCAGAAACTTATTATATTTTCACCTGCGTCACAAGCGTGGTAAAATGTAGAGAAGAAACATATGGAAAAGTAGCAGATGGCTTCTATGTAGAATTTTCTTTTGAATGCTACATATACAGCAGGGAGGAACATGAGATTGCTGAGAACCAAGAGCACTAGTTCAATTACCACCATATAGTAAGGAGTTGCTTGAGAATCATCTGAACAGTCCCAACCTGAAAAAAATAAATTGGGATAGGTTCACCACACCTATTTGCATGGTTCCGAAACACAAATTACAAAAAGCACTTACTATAGATGGGAGTGGAGGATATATGAATAATGCAACACATATCTAATAATGCAATATTTGCGACCAACTCACATTCTTGTTATGAAATTTTGTTATACAGTATGGTGCAAATGAAACGAATAAATTCATTTCTAACCTAACTGTCCATTTTTGCGAAATAACCTCAAAACAGGTCGGTTTTTATTTTCATTTTTCTACATTTATAGGTGAAAATTGAATATCCATGTTTGAGTTCTGACGTCCGCGACAATTTTATCAAATGGAACACCCTATATATTCAACTTTTGAAAAGCTGAATTCAAACATATATTACAAATAGGATTAGTATACAGTGTGTTCGTTAAATTGAGTGCTCTTGTGAAGTAGTGAATAAATTCATTTATAGCAAAACTATTCATTTCTGAGGAATCTCCTGAAACAGGTTGAGTCTTTTTTTTATCGCTTGGAGCGCACGAAAGGGAATCCCTATAATGTTCAAACAACATCGTGCGTTCCTAGGGAGGATAGGGATAGGAGGTAGGTATTGGAATTTTTTTCGAACTTCTGGAGATTATAATTATGTTGTTGGGAATACTTCCTCAGGCAATGAATTCCAGAGCCTAGCCGTTCTATGGATGAAGGAGTTTTGATAAAGTGCTGTTTATAAATGGAAATTGAACGTTTGAGTCTGCGATAATTTTTTCAAACAGGACACCCTATATATTATTCAATTTTTGGAATCTCCATGAAAAGCTGTATTCCAATAGTTATTTATACACCACCATAGTAAAGAATATCATTATTACTCAGGGACCCAGGGCTTCAGCCGAAATGTAGACCTATGTCACTAGGAAAGCACTTCTTTTCAATTCTAATTAAAATTTAGTCACCATGATAGCATATGACAAGTCATTATTGATAAATACCTACTAGATTCCAGTGCCATTCCTGTGAATATCGCATCAGAACAGTGAATTCGGGTTAATTAAAACAGAGGTGGCTATGTCTTTATTGACTAGTGGTTCATAAAATGACGAAAACTACCTTGGTAGTAAAAATACACTTCACGCCTTCAGAAGGAGTAAATAAAGGCAGGTTCTATAGCGAGGTGAGAAGTGATTCATTCCTGGCGTGAGATTAGTTAGTTAACCGAGACGCAAAGCATGGAGGTAAGCTATAATTTCGAGACAGGAACAAACTTCCTGCCGACGTTTGTATACTATTTTATTCACAACCATCATATTTCAATCAAAATTAATAAATCTATGTTCCGTTCTGAACATACCTGAATTATTACATGAGTGAGGGGCGGGAAGTGAGGACGGGAAGTAGAGGTGTGTAATGTGACACTTCCCAACCTTCAATGACGTTAGTAATGACAACATTACATATATGGTTGTAAATAAAATATATTACACAGGTGTTCCCTTTGAAAGGAGTCTCACGAACGGCATAAATCAAACGGGTATCACCCTGAATATTTAAATCTTCCTTTTAAATGTGGCAAATTGAAAATAAAAATCGACCTGTTTCAGAAGATTCCTTTAAAATGGATAGTTTGGTTGAGAATGAATGTATTCCTTTCATTTGCACCATAGTGTATACCTTGCAAGTAATAAACAAGGGAGAAAAAAAAAGTAATGAGTGACATAGGACAGTTCCAGCAAATAATATTTGCCGCACGCCACCGGTCCCATTTAAACTCCGAAGGGACTGGAGGCACACGGTAGATATTCTAGCTGCAGCTGCTCCAATTGATACCTGTGATTAAAAAAAATGTAACTTTGACCTATATTACAGTATATCATAAAAGTTTCATTACGATCGGACGATTTACAAATTAGAGTCACACTGTTGGGTTCATTGGGGCCGGAAATTAATAGTTATAGTATTTACGCCACTGATTCCAAAACTGCTTGTGCTAATCAACGTCCTAAATAACTAACTAGACCGCTAATGCCATAGGATCAAAGTTCATTCATTTACAGGATCAAACCTCGGATCAAACTTCAATTCGCGATAGAAAATAACACGTCGCCCCACCTGACGGCAGGAACTCGAACACTTCTGAGCGGTTTGTTTTGATGATATGACCAATAAGAAAGAACAAAAACAAATGTGAATGAGTAAAAACAAAGTAAACATGCCGCTTTGACAGCTTTCAAAGATAGGTGTCGTACGCTTATTTTCTATTGTGAATGGAGAGTTCACATTGAGGATCTATCAGATATCTCACTCACTCTTACTTATATTTCTGAAGACCAAGAGACATGACTGGATGTCATGAACGACAGTTTAGGAGTTTCTGTGCATTGACCATTCTAGAATACGTGATTTTGATAGGATTTTTTGGAGAGCACCCAAACTATCTCTAAGGATAGCCCTGCCCACATCCAGAATACAATAACAAATTCACCAAACAAAATCATGAAATTTATTTCGGTTCCAAAGAAAACCCACTAATTCTGGTTTCATTTGACAAAATACAATGTTTGCCTTCCAATGACCAGTCAAATGATGAAATTCTGGAATTAAGTTTTTTCAGGCCAGCAATTTGGATAAGATTTTTGATTTGCTGGTATATGCCAAATAGTGGTCTAGATAATAGGTATCTCAATGAATAGAATAGAATAGAAGTTTATTGACTATTTTATGTACATACAAAGCACATTTATAGCAGGTCAAAAACATTTATACATGTAAATTTGTAAATAAACAGACAATTTTTATTAAGATACATACTCATAAAATCACTGTGTGAACTGTGTGATGATCATTATATGTTTTGTTTTTTAGAAATCGGCACTCAGATATTCCTCAACGGAGTAGAAACTGTTGCTAACTAAAATGTGTTTTATGGTTTTTTTAAATAGCTCAAATTTCATTTGTTTGATATTATCTGGCATCTTATTGAAAAGTTGAAGATTGCGAGAGTTCCGTGCAGATACTTCTAGACGGTATCGGGGATTTAATAAAAGATTATTATTTCTTGTATTGTACTGGTGTATGTCATTATGAGCAGTATAAGTTCTCAAGTGTTTATGATGCTAATATAAGAGTGAAAAATTGGTATATTATCAATTTATCCACAATTCCTTTGGTTTATAGGAATGCCTTGAAATCTAGGAAATATAAATTTATTCTGGTTAATATCAGTCTAATGACCAGCCACTTGAAAAGTCCCATAGGTTCTTGGACATATAGACTGAATAAATTTCATTGGTGTACCTATATATTTGATAATGTTATGGGCATTTTGAAATTTTCAATAATATAGAGTAGTTACCTATGGACTAGTGTGTATAAGTATAAATATTTCAACTAACCTGTTTGAATATGATTTGAATACACTCACCTCTGTATTTGTTCATGCAGACACAAGTAGAGAAAACAACGCCATCTGAGACCATATACATGCACCTCCCATTTCTAGAACACTGTCCAAAGATACAAGGGTGGGAACCAATATCAAACACAATGCTGGAATTGCAAGTCACATTTTCATTTTTCAAACAGGGTCCATCACAGTTACAGCCTTTGCATTCATCAGAAGCTATTATTTGTTTACTACAATTTACTGAACAAAGTTCACAGTTACCCTCTATTACACAGTTGAGATAGCAATCCTTTGTACAGTCTTCATACTGTTCTTGACAATGCTGTGGACAGTTACAAGGTACACAAGTACCACAGAATAGTTTGAAGGTGGCATACCACATCCCACTTTCAGGGTATGGTATGAGGATTGTTGAATTTTCTATAGTTTTGTTGAGAATGAGTTGTGCAGGTTTTTCTACACCATTTGAAACACAACTATTTGGCCAGGTAGGAACTTCAATAATTCCCTTTCTAATACAAGCAACTATAACTTGGTTTTCTGGCTCTGGTTCAAGAACAATTCTTGAAGTGCTTCTTCTTACTCTTGGCTTGAATGCCATGATGAACTGTAGAGTACCTCCCACATCAGTACCATCACGAATTTTAAATTTCAGGAGAGAGAAGTGGGTATTGGTCATGTTTATGGGAATGGCAATTTTGGAATTAAATTCTTGTTTCAGCTCATAGGAAAATAAAAAACTGTCTGAACTGGCTTCCCTTAGGAGGTCATATTGTTTGTAAGGACTCAAATCAGTGATCTTAGAATTATGGAATGTCTTTGTGATAGAATTATTGAAATATGTTTCATTTTGTAGCAAATCATAATCACTGGATTCTTCAACAAGTTTGCTGGTAAATAGATTCAATGTGAAGGCCAAATTGCAATGGCTTTCCTGCTTGTAAGTAACATTTTCAGCCAGTTTCAATTCAATATAATGCCAACTATCTGGTTTAGCTTGAAAATGAACAGTAGTGGAATTAACATTCTCATCAATGATGTGTTCTATTTGATGAATTGCTGGAGTAGGTGGTTTATTTGAATCCATGCGAAATATCAACTGTTTCACATTTTCAGAATGATTAATATCTTTTAGGCTCACTAAACCATGATCATTTATATTGGGAACAAAGAATTTGAAATACCTACTTTCAGTGGATGTTAGAATTACTTGAATAATACCACCTTCAGCTATAATCAATGCATCATCAACTTTATTTGTGTACAAAGTTGCTTCTACACTGGCATAGCAAGAGGGTCTCAATCCTAGAAGAGTTTGTTGTTAAATAGGGAACCAAATTGAATTAGTGCATTGTTACCTTCTTGCTGAATTGCATTATATTTTGGGTCTGAGTAAGATAGAAAAGTGGCAGCAAAATAAGTTCCTGGCTCAGGAGAACTGATATTAATATAGGATTCCTTATTATCTGTTCTCATTTCCAAGTTGAACATCTCACATCTTGTTATGTTTTTGAATGTTTTTGGAAAAGGTGACCCATCTGGATTTATTACAGGTGGAGCACCATGTTTTAGATATAATGAAACATTTCTGATGGCACAGCCTACAAAAAAATATAAATTCCTATTGCCTTAAATATTCACCTTCTCAACTTATATTCATACCAAATATAGACATTTGTGTCTCTTCAGCTTTGAATTTGAAAGATGCAAATAGTGTATCTTGAGGTACCTTCAAGTGTATCATAACAATATCTTTATAGGCTTCATATTGTTCCAAGAAAGCTGTAACAGTTCTTGCTCTAATGGTGACATTATTTGAGTCAGATAATCTCAGGCACAATAGGATCAACAGTATGGCATTGAAATACATCCTCAGGATATCTAATCCAGGAAAAATTAATCAAGAATGGTCAAGATACCTTCTATTTATCATCTGTTGTTACTGAAACATCAAAAACCTCTTCCAATTTATTCCTGTTTTCATTTTATTGTACATTGTCTGATGCCTCTGGTTTTCAAAGAATTCTAAAAAAAAAGATAATACTGATAATAGTGATTTTATATGTAAAGTTTGCGATTACAACTTACAGACAGCTGATGAATAATTGAATTAGTATGGGTGATGAATTGATGATAAGAAAAAGTATTCAATTTCCATTATTTCAATTTTCAACAATAGAATAAGAACTAAACACTACACAGTTCCACTCCACATGGTTCCAGTGGTTCCTTCCTTTTTCTTTCTACCAACAGTGTCAACACTCAACAGTTCAACCACTCAACATTATTTTCATCATTTTCTCTGAGGTTTTTCTCATTTTCGATTTCAACACCAACAGATTCTGTCTACTCAACCGCCGCAGTTTTCAAATGGTAACAGATTTCAAACAAAAGGTAATAGAAAACTGTTCGTTTGTATTGTTGAAGTTGCTAGAGTTAATTTTTTTCCATAATTGTCTCTGTTCATGGCATAATGTGAACAGAGAGTCATAGAAAAAAATCGAGAACAATTTTAGGTACAATTTTTAGGTGATAAACTGAAAAAGCCTGACATTCGACATCATAAATGTCATTCTTGTCAAACCTTATCGCATGATTGAAGATATTTTTGCACCATTTTTGACAACAATGAGGCAAAAAATCACAGAAAATAATCTGACTTTTATACCAGAGATTCAGAGATAAGTTACCAATTTATCTCTGCTTATTATACATAGAGAATAGGATCATAGAGCAGAGCAGAACATAATCATCGGAGCACGAAATATTAATAATCAAATTTTGGTTCGAACTGCAAATAGTAATAGATGACAAAGTGTGAAAACCAATATCGAAACAACGGCCATATCTAGAACAATACTGCCGCCCTGCGGTTCAAATTGTTTCCTTCTTTATCTTTAGTATAAGTCATGCAAGGCATGTATAAGTACTTTCGACTCTTTCGAGTGTTTGGAGCATTTGACCTCTTCCTACGATATCTTATTCTCCGTTGAAGTAAGAATTGGTCCTAAAGTTCCACATTGAGATTAAAAGAACATATTAGTCTGCCCAAGTATTCCCATAACTTCAGGTTTTCTATTTGTTCAAATATTCTACATCGTTTCACTCTGTCATGCTCTCTCAAGATAGTCTCACCATGTCCACACAATGACCAACGACACGAAACACTTATCGAGATGAAATCGTATTCGTATTACGTGAAGAAAAGTGGTGTCTCTATCGGCATTTGGTGGGGAAATATTCCCCTTATCCCCCTCTTGTAGGTACGCCACTGCCACAGCAGACCATGTTTAGGGAGTATAGGAGTTAATAATAGAATGAAAAAAGATTGAAAGAGCAGCTGATATCCAAAAATTCATACACGAAAAAAAGAAGAATAACATAATACACAACTTAACCTTATATTTACGGTGTTCCTGTTCTTTCTTCTTCAACAAAAGTTCTCGTGATTTGAAAAACGAAAAAGGAAAAACCATTCATCGCTTTCTAGGTTCTTCTATTTAGTGTAATTTCACCTTATTTATAGCATCATCTGATTATGATGTCTTTCTCAATCATCTCAAAACAGTTGAACAGGCAAATCAAAACCCATGCAAAAAGTAAGAAGTTTGTGGATTTGAAACATATTTGAGCTGAAATTGTTAATCATATTCCATGTTACAGGGTTTTCCAGGACTATTTGTGATGAACAAAGAAGACAAAATGAAATCTTCATTGCAGAAGAAAAAAGACAGAGAGAATCTATTGGGAGAATAGAAAAAATTGAAGTTAATTATGAAGGGCAACCAACTAATGAGGTTTTGGTTATGAATAGAAATATTTCTACTCCTTATGATTGTGCAAAACGTAAAGTATGATGTATGCCTTTTTTGCAATCTTCTCATTCAATGTTCTTTAGACATGGGTGAAATGGTACAGAAACGATCTGTGGTAGCATTAATAAATGGAGAAACACTTTGGCACATGCACAAACCTATACCAGACTCATGTAAATTAGAACTTCTTCATTACCAAATTTCAAACCCAGCATTAGTCAATAAAACTTTCTGGAGAAGTTGCAGTTTCATATTGGGAGCTGTAGTTTCAAGTGCATTCAAAGATACTGTTGGTTTGTGTTTACATAGTTTCCCAAGCCCCAATGGTAAATTAATTTTTCATTTATTTGTTTCAAACTTATAATCATCTATTCATTTCTAGTAAAATCTGGAAGTTTTGTTTATGATGTGCAACTTTCACTAGATAACTGGAAACCAACAACATCAGAACTGAAAGTTCTTTCAATTGAAATGATCAAATTTTGTCAACAAGAACTACCAATAGAATGTCTTGATGTCTCTACAGACATTGCTTTCAACATTTTCAAGAACAATCCTCATAAAACACAACAGATCCCTAATATAGCTGACCATAATAATGATAAAATAACACTTTTCAAGGCAGGGAACCACATAGATATATCAAAGGGTCCCATGGTGCCTAACACAAATCAAATAGGGAGAATTACTGTTGCTAATGTTATCAAATTGGACAGTGATATTCCTGGAGGCCCAATATTCAGGTTCCAAGGAGTGGCACTGCCAAGTTCTATTATGATGAATCATTTTGCCTATGGGTTACTTGAAGATAGAGCAAGATTACTAGTAAGTAATTATAAGATTTCATATTTGTATTGAACCCAGTTTTAAGAAGTCTTCAAATATTTACTACTTTATCATAGTCATCTTGAATGTAGGTATAGGAGATAAATATTCTTATAAATATTTACAAATAGAATTCAATCTGTATATCAATGAGATATGCAATAACTTACATACATATAAGTCAAAATATAAATAATGTAAATTTCATTGATTTCATATTGTTTTTCAGTCTTGATCAAGAAAATTAACATATTCAAATTCTTGTTAGAAGCTCAATTGACTGAATCATCATTAAAATTCTATTCTACAATGTGATTAGGAAGAAACAGTTCAAATGGTGACAGTATATCCATTATATCATTTCACACAGTGAACCACTGATTCTGAATTTTTCTGAATATGTTTTCAAAATAAGCAGGTATTCCTGATGAAAAAATATAACATCCCTTCACCTGATGACAACAACTTGAAAACTTTTGAGCAGTTTGTTTTGATGTAGCCATCTTAGTTGGTCATTACAAATGAGTTCAAATAAAAAACAAATGAAACCCCATGCAAACAAAGTAAACAGACTGCTTTGACAGCCTTCAAAAATTCCAATAGGTAGCATACTGTATACTGGGAATTGGAAAAATTTCAGGTACAATGGAATCACCCAGTGGCGTAGATTTGAGGGTCCCTCTTTCATTAGGAGACATTTCAGAAAAAAACTTTCATCATGCATGTTAATCACCTTGTGTACTATGGTTGTTGTGTATGTACCCTTATGTATGTCTTGACGGTGGAGAGAAATAAATTGCTCGAGAATGATTAACTGGCATTTTATTTACCGAACAGTGTATGTCATCTGTATGTGAGATGAATCAATGAATGAATGAATATAAATGTGCATAATTCCAATACCCCTTCCTATTTCGTCACTTGACAACAATGACAACATTGACAACAATGAAAGTCCAGACTACCAACATAAATACTTTCGCGGTTATAAGGTAGCATTCAAATATACAACAACTCTCCCCTCACAAATTGAGTCTTTCAGGAGGTTTAATGATCCTTGTGGATCTCCGCAGTTCGGGAAGTCCATTGGGCAAGGTATGAGAAACATCATCAGGGACACTAGAGGTAGGAAAAGAGTTTTTCGTTTGAATGAGTTCTGGTGGTGCTACTACTTCGTCAGATATTTGTGGATAAATTCCTTCATCAGATATTGCTGGATTAATTTTTGGTGATTCATTTAGTTCATTGTCTGAACGATTTGAACGTGTTAAGTTCATTTGAGGTATCTGGTGAGATTCCTGGTACTTTTGCATGACCGGAGTATTTTCCCCTATTAGTTGAATCTGATCTATGTGCCTCCTCCAGACACTAGAGTTATCGAGCTCTATGACATAATGTAAATGACCTATTTTTTGTTTTATCCTACCAAATTCCCACTTGTCATTATGGATATAATCACGGCACGCTACCCTATCGCCTATTTTCAAGTAACGAATTTTTTTCCCCTGTACGTCTAAATTGTTATTTATTCTATCAGACCTTTCTGTACGCAATAGATCTAATCTGGATCTGATTTCTCTACCAAAAAGCATGTACGATGGACTTACACCAGTTCCAGAATGTGGTGTTTTCCTATACTGTAATAGGAATTTACAAAGTTGTTTCTGCCGATTTTGGTTATCCCCCTTCAGCGCTCTAAGTGATTGCTTAAAGGTCTGAACGTATCTTTCCGCTAAACCATTAGTGGCTGGGTGATATGGTGCACTCAAGCGGTGAGTTATTCCATTTTCTTGTAGGAATTGTTTGAACTCATAGGACACGAAGTTTTGAGCATTATCAGAGACAATAATCTTTGGTATGCCAAAAGAAGCAAAAATTTGTCTCAAAAGGTTTATGGTGGTGAGACTCGTCATGTTTTGTACCATGTGAATCTCAGGCCACCTAGTATAAGCATCTACTAATATAAAATAATAAAAGTTAAAGAATGGACCTGCATAGTCTATGTGCACTCGTTCAAAGGGTACTGTTGGAGTATCCCAATGATGAATGGGCACTTTGCTAGGATTATTTTTCATTTTGTTGCAATCGACACAGCTTTTGCAGAGGGTCTCTATATCCTGTGATATACCTGACCACCAACAGTGCCCCCTTGCCAAAGCCTTCATTTTTACCACACCAAAATGTGCACTGTGAAGCTCTTCTAATATTCTGTGCTGTAACCCTTTTGGTATGACGGCCATATTTTGCCGGAATATACTATCATTTTGCAATGAAAATTCTAGCTGTGGAACATTAAATCTATCCCTTGCTTTTAATTCAACCCCAGATTGAAGGGCCTCTAAAAGTTTTTTTAGGATAGGATCCTTAGCAGTTTCACTCGCCAATTCCTTGGAGGAAACTGGTAAGTTTTCTATCTGAAAAATTTCAAATTGGTCGGATATATCATGATGAAAATTAGTAGTTACATTCAAGGGTAACCTTGAAAGAGCATCAGCATTTGCATGTGCTTTTGTATTTTTATACTTTATTTTGTACTGGAAGCTTTGTAAGAAAAGTGCATAATGTTGCATTCTTGTTGTAGTCAGTGTTGATAAATGTTTGGCCGGGGAAAAAATCTGTATAAGGGGTTGATTATCAACATACAATGTGAAAGGTCTACCATAAAGGTAATAGTAAAATTTTTTTACACCAAAAATGATGGCATAAGCCTCCTTATCAATTTGTGCATATTTTTGTTGCACATTGGTCAATGTTTGCGAACTGAATTGTATTGGGCGCTCTGTTCCATCAGGATAAATGTGTGACAGCACGGCTCCGACTGCATATGGGCTAGCATCAGTTGCTAAAATCAGAGGAAGTTCAGGGTCGAAATGTGCTAGGACTCTGTCTGACATTATTTCTGTCTTAACTGCTTCAAAAGCGCTTTGACATCTCTTATCCCAATGAAACTTCACATTATCTTTAAGTAAATTGTATATTGGCTGTAACGTATTGCTGAGATTTTCAAGGAAACGTCCGTAATAGTTTACTAGCCCCACAAATGCTCGAACTTCAGACTTGTTAGATGGCACCTTGGCATCATGAATTGCCTCCATCTTGTTTTTACACTTATGAATGCCGTTTTTGTCAATTAAGTACCCGCAATATTCTATTTCTTTTGTGAGAAATTGACATTTTTCATAGTTTATTCTAATGTTGTACTTTGCCAGTCTGCTGAAGATGGCTTCTAGATGTTCGAAATGGGAATTGTCATCAACCCCTGTTACCTTGATATCGTCAATGAAAACTGAGACGCCCGGTATATCTTTTAGAATATTTTCTATTTCCCTCTGCCATATAGCAGGTGCACTGGCCACCCCATACATTAATCTCGTACTCTGGTATAATCCCTTTGGAGTACTCAAAGTAAGATATTTCCTATCTTCTGGACGTACTTCCATTTGAAGATATGCTTGTTGTAAATCTATTTTTGTAAATTTGTCTCCACCGGCCATTGAGGAAAACAACGTTTCTATAGTGGGTAGAGGGTACTCATCCACAATTAAATTTTTATTCAATGTACATTTGAAGTCACCACATATGCGCACATTGCCGTTGGCTTTAAGAACTGGGACTATTGGAGTTGCATATTCAGAACTTTCCACTTTTTCCAACACCCCTTCTTTCTCTAGAAAATCCAGTTCTTTTTCCACCTTGGGCAACAATGCATAGGGTACCTTGCGAGCCTTTATGAAAATGGGTTGTGAATCACTCTTGAGTTTGAGACTAGCTTGTAAACCTGTGATTTTGCCTAAATCTTTTTTTAAAATTGTATTGTACTTTTGTAAAAGGTCATCTAATCTACTTTGAGTGGTTAGATATGTAATTTCAGGAGTATTATTGAACCCTATACCTAACATTCTCATCCACTCCCTTCCTAAAAGTGGGTGTTTGTCAGTATTGACAATGTATAAATTCAATTTTTTTGTAATATTTTGGTACTTTACCTCTACCTCAATTAAACCAAGCACATCTAAAGGGTTCTTACTGTATGTGATAAGTTTTGTATCAGTCTCTTGTAATTGCAACGTAGGAAATAATTTTTGTGAATCAATGCAACTCATTATTGTAACTGCAGCACCAGAATCTAATTCAAATAAAACTCTTACCTCGTTTACCTCCAGAGTGAGTGTGAACTTCTCTCTCAGCTGTGGATGTTCTGTATGTATTGATAGAATTTCATCAACTTGAACTTCTTCCATTTGATGTGTAGATCTACTATCATTTTTATTTTTGAGGCATACCTTTCCCAAATGACCTTTCCGATTACATTTGGAACAAGTTAAATTTCGTTTATTACATTGGTGAGCCAAATGTTGTGGGGATCCACACCTAAAACAAAATGTATTATCAGTATTTTTGTGAGAATTCACTTGGCAGGAGAGTTGGCCTCTTTGCTTTTGCCCATGATTACTGGCCCATGAATTTGACTTTCGTTGTACACTATGAGCACCCACACTGTGTACACTAGTCCCCCCTGCTGGACGATGAAGTTGAGCAGCATCCCTTGCAGAGGTTTCCATGCCAACTGCAATATTCAATGCATTCTCTATTGTCAAATCCTTCTGCTCCAGTAGTCTGCTTTGAATATTTTGTGCTCGGAGACCAAACACAAACTGATTTCTTAGTGCTTTCTTCAAATATTCTCCAAATTTGCATGTTGTAGCAAGGCCCTGTAAGGCTGTGAGATATTCTTTGGCACTCTCACCTTCATGCTGCCTTCGTTGTAAAAATCTGTAGATTTCCGCTATTTCTAGTGGTTCTGGATTATAGTGCAACTTCATAGTGTTCACTAATTCTGCATACGTCTTGACACCTGGCTCATCTGGTGAAATTTTGTCACACAGGACATCATAGGCTTCGGGGCCCATGTAATGTAATAGATATGCTGCCTTCTTGTCGTCTGGTACAGCGAAAACATCGAAAGCACTTTCCAGGCGCATGAGCCACCTGTCGAACCTTTTTGAGGTGTCGAAATTTTCGATTGAAAATACTGTATAGACTGAATGATTGACTTCAGTCATGTTTCTTGCCGGTTTGGGTGTACTGTATTCCCAAAGCTGCAACTGTATGTAGCACGAACACGTGCCGTACGTAACCTCTCACTCCGTTTTTCGTATTCACTCTTGAACTTCGGCCGATTGTAACGCAGATTCGTCTGCCTCGTCGCCAACTGTTGTGTATGTACCCTTATGTATGTCTTGACGGTGGAGAGAAATAAATTGCTCGAGAATGATTAACTGGCATTTTATTTACCGAACAGTGTATGTCATCTGTATGTGAGATGAATCAATGAATGAATGAATATAAATGTGCATAATTCCAATACCCCTTCCTATTTCGTCACTTGACAACAATGACAACATTGACAACAATGAAAGTCCAGACTACCAACATAAATACTTTCGCGGTTATAAGGTAGCATTCAAATATACAACAATGGTTAAGGAATGATTCAATAAATATTAATTTGCACATTTCTAGAATGCTACAAATTAGTCTTAAAAATAAATAAATACAAAAAGCTCAAAATCATTTCCATGAATGTTCATAAAATAAACAACAATGGTAGATGATGGGAGAAAAACAACTACTAAAAGTCAAGCATAATCATTTTGTAAATGTGACACATTAACTATGAACTTTGCCTCATGAAACTCAATTTTATTTGAGATAGAATGTTAATCATTTGTTTTTTTGTTTCAGAATCCAGCAAGAGTACCTGGTACCCAAGGAATTGACAATGAAGATAATACTTTTGTTGCCAATATGGCTGCATGAGAATAATTATGTGTTGAGTTTTTACCTTGTAAGTACCTGTTATCTAACCCATGTCAGGAATCTGAAATAATTAGATTCATTTTATATTATTTTCTGAGTATAGTTAGAGGAACACATATATTGAGTGATTGACCACACACATGTCAATATCATCTGTTTTGTATTCTTATTGGAAATATCATCCAGAAAATTTTCTAGTGACTATTCTGCTGACTATTAGAGCAAGGTTTAATATCGGACATGCTCTACAAATACAGAAGCATAATTGACCAACAACAAAGGTTTGAACAGCAAATTTCTGTAATATGGATCATTTATTGTTTTATCAAACATGAAATAGTCAAATGAATACAACTCATGATACTATCTTTCCTGGATATATTCGTTGATTGATATACTCCAGCTTGCAATTGTTCTAAAATTGTTCTAAAATTGTTCTATCCGTCATTCGGTTGCCCCCTTACGAGCAACCCTCAGAAGTCTTCGAGAGTCTTGTGCGAGCAAGGAATGACGGGGGCCTTACCTTTTAACGTGTGATCCCAAACACTTTCTTGGGCCATCAGAAAAATTTCTGCAGTCGACGGGACTCGAACCCACGACCGGCAAGCGAATGCGGATTAGAATATGGACACTCTGTCCGCACGGCTACCTGGCCCCTGGCAATAGTTTCCTAGTTTTGATTACAATGTTCAGAGCCGGACCAAGGGTGTGGGAAAAGAGGCATTTGCTACGGGAGCAAAGCACAAACGACTTAGAGGCGCAAAATGTGAAATATTTCATAAATAAAAACTTGCTTGACTACAAGCTACACCGTGCTCTTATTTATTGTCCCCCCTTTCATTTCTTGAAAAGGTCAACTAAAAGAATTGAAACTTGGGATAATGAAATTGAATGAAGTCTATACAGGTTGATTCACGGTGGATGGCACATTAGACGTTTTTGGAGAACACAACTTAGGATTATTCTGAGAAGTTGGTGCCTTGGATAATTAGTTGTGTTCTAGCGACCTAAAATATTCTCAGCGTTGCGACGTTGCCGCTTATATTGAAAATTAGCAACAACTTTGATTTTTTCTATGGAACACCCTGTATATCATTCCATTTTCAGATTCTCCCTAAAGAGCTGATTTCATCGATATATCACACTTGGGGTCTAGCGGGAATGATAACAAAGATATAGGGTGTGAAAAATCGAAATTGAATTTTTTTGGTGAAACTATTCATAATTGATCAAAGCGGTTTTTATGTCCCTATCTTAAATTTTCATGTACTATCAATTGATATTTGATTGAAATAAATACAGGGTGGTTCAGAATTAAGATTTTCGACCACCCTGTATCTCAATTAAATATCAATTGATAGAACATGAGAAATTAAGATAGGGACATGAAAACCGTTTTGATCAATTATGAATAGTTTCGACACAAAAAATTCTTAAAGTTGAAAAATTTGGATTTTTCACTCCCTATATCTTTGTTATCATTCCCGCTCGACCCCAAGTGTGATAGATCGATCGATGGAATCAGCTCTTCAGGGAGAATCTGAAAATGGAATGATATACAGGGTGTTCCATTGAAAAAATCAAAGTTGTTGCTACCTCTAAATATATAACGGCAACGTCGCAACGCTGAGAATATTTTAGTTCGATAGAACACAACTAATTATCCAAGGCACCAACTTTTTTTCAGAATAATCCTGAGCCGCGTTCTCCAGAAACGTCTAATTTGCCATCCACCGTGAATCACCCTGTATATTATGGAGTAAAATTGACTGATGAAAATTTCCAGATTGCGACTGGAAGCAATCTGAGAAAGAAATTGAATGTAAAGGGGGTCTTGTGAACTTTTGCGTCTGCGGAGTCTGGGTCATGAAATGGAATGTTGTTGGATTTTGCTGATTTTCTTTAACTTGAGGAAGAAAGTACTTCAATGATCTTGAACTCCTAGGAAATCCCCAAAAAAAGAAAATAGCATTTCCATGAATTCACATGGGAGTAAAAAGAGACTATTCTTTAAAACAACATGATTTAACTCGGTCAAAAGAAACCTTTATTCTAGAAAATAATGTTTTCAAAACTTTTTCTCAACAGTAAATGCCTTCACAGTACTTTTTTCAGAAAGGAAGGAAAATATCCCTCCTGCATAAAAAAGGACACTACTTTTTTTAAACCATCTAACCTTGCTTAGCCTAAATGAACCTTCTTCCTAAAAAGACAGTACTTTTTTCAGGAAGGAAAATTCCTCTCCTGCATAATAAAGGACACAACTCTTCAAACTATTTTTTTCCAAAAAATTATATTTTTCGAACAATGACATGAGAAAACAATTAAAAAAGGCCGACCTTCGCAGGAATTGAACCCGGGTCGCCGACGTGAGATTCAATCGCAAAGTCAACTACGCCACGAAATGACGAGTCCTAGTAACTATGATAGTGTGAAGAACGAATTTAGTCACTGTATTCGCACTACTCGCGCTGATTATATTTGTTACCTCCTTGCTCTAGGCGCTAGTATTCGGATTCGAACGAAGAATCGATGACTAGCAACACTGCACTCCCCCCACCATTCTAAAATGCATGGCAAGTATACTCCCCAGACGCGACTGTCTTGCGACACATCCTTCTGAAGCTAATGACGAATACTTCATTCTCCATTGTTATTGTGAATTATAAAGTTTTCCGAAATATCATCAAGGGCGCTAGAATCCTAGTTCTGGCTCTGACAATGATTGCAAATTTACTAGGCACCAAGTTGTGACAATCGTCGAGTATTTTCCGGAAAAATATTTTAATATTTGTATCAGCTTGGAACAGTACAAAAACAGTTATGTGAATTTAAAATAAGTTTATTACTATCCTACATAAACACAAATCATTATCACCAGGAAGTACATTCTATGTATATTTCATGAAGAAATCAATGAATACAAAATAGTCTAATGTTGAAATCACAATTCTTATGAGTCACTGATAATCCTAGAATATTGGGGGTATTGAAGTTCACATGGTTACATAAGTAGGAGTTGTCATAACTCCACAGTTGTTATCCTTGGCAGACATCAAAATGTATCCGTCATTACCCCAGTAGTTTGACCAACTGTTCTTAACCAGCCAATAGTCTTGGCCATTCATTGTTCCATATCCCACAGCTAGAACTGCATGATCTAAATCTGTTTCTTTGTTTCCACTGCAATGAAAAATTATATGATCATTTAGGTTGAATATAGTATACCAACATTACCAACCAACATCGAAGAAAAACAAAAATATTCATACAGGGTGTTTATTAAGTACTTGTACAAACTTCAAAGGGTCGATCTTTGACTGATTTCAAGATAAAAAGTTCTTATGAACATGGGTCCGCAACGGCTGTGTTTTTGAGATGCAGAGCGTCAAAATGAAATAATTTTATTTGAAGTAGGCGGTGGTCATTTTCAGCAATACAAGCAATTAAATACACATTTTTTGATTGTTTTTCAAAAATTCCAAGCAAAAGTTTGATATTGAACCAGTTATTATCAAAAGCGGCTGCTTTTACCTTTGTATGTGAAAATGAATGGATAATAGGTTAGCTTAGTTACAAATGATAGAAAATTGAATTAATACATAGTTTCTCGTCCTCAATACACCCAGCATCCCGAGTTTCGTCAAATTGACATGCTATTGAACGAAAATTTGATAAAAAAATCGAATAAAATATTTTTTTGTACGCTCTCTATATCAAAAACCAAGCCGTTGCGGACCCATGTTCATATGAGCTTTTCATCTTGAAATTAGCCACAGATCAATCAACCCCTCGAAGTTTGTACAAGTACTTAATAAACACCCTGTATAGGGTAAGATGATGAAAAAATATAGTGATGGACAGAGTTAAAATCGAAATGTATACATATTATAATGAAGACAGCATCATGACGCGTCTGAGAAAAGAATCTGAAATATGTGATCTGCCCGTAAATAACCAAGAAATCTGATTTTGAAATTTTGGTAAGAAAATCAAATAGCTCTAGAGAGTTCATATACAGGCTGATTCACGGTGGATGGCACATTAGACGTTTCTGGTGAACCAGACAACGGATCGTTTTGAAAATCCAATGGAGAGCATATTCGGACATTCTCTAGCCAACTAAAATATTTTCGACAATGCGGTGTTGCCGCTTCTATTAGAAAGCAGTAGCAACTTTGATTTTTCAAATGGAACACTCTGTATTTTATTGCATTTTTAGATTCTCCCTGAAGAGCTGATTTCATCGATGTATCACACTTGGGGTCTAGCGGAAATGATTACAGAGATATAGGGTGTGAAAAATCGACATTTTTCAACTTTAGAATTTTTTTGTGTCGAAACTATTCATCATTGGTCAAAACGGCTTACATGTCCCTATCTCAACTTTTGATTAACTATCTACTGATATTTAATTGGGACATATACCGGGTGATCAAGATTCTGAATTCTGCACCACCCTGTATTCGTTTCAATTAAATTTCAGTAGATAGTTGATCAAAAGTTGAGATAGGGACATGTGAGCCGTTTTGACCAATGATGAATAGTTTCGACAAAAAAAATTCCTAAAGTTGAAAAATGTCGATTTTTCACACCCTATATCTCTGTAATCATTTCCGCTAGACCCCAAGTATAATACATCGATGAAATCAGCTCTTCAGGGAGAATCTAAAAATGCAATAAAATACAGAGTGTTCCATTTGAAAAATCAAAGTTGCTACTGCTTTCTAATAGAAGCGGCAACACCGCATTGTCGAAAATATTTTAGTTGGCTAGAGAATGTCCGAATGTGCCCTCCATTGAATTTTCAAAATGATCCGTTGTCTGGTTCACCAGAAACGTCTAATGTGCCATCCACCGTGAATCAGCCTGTAGATAGCTCAGCAATGCCGTACATAAATTAACAGATATTCCCAGGTATAGTCAGTGGTGTCAGATTATATCAATTGACAATATTCCACTTGCAGAGGATGAAACATTTTGTGTTATAATACATATAATTGACATCGGCGCCACTCAATTTGACAGTGACTGATGCTGCCAACAAATAGTACATAATGTCTAACCCTTTTCAAGTAAATTGTGGTCATCTGGAATTGAAAACCTGAGCCTAATATAACTTCAGTTTTTATATTTTTTCACTTCAAATGCGATTATATGCATTCAGTTCAATTTCACATAAATGTTCATCTCCCGAAGTGATTTAACGGCAAAACAATCCATGTTCCAAACTTACCATTTGGGTTCGTAATAAACGCCATTGGAGTAGAAACTCAATGTCCTCTGGCTGGCATCGATGGCCACACTGATAGGTCCATGTTTAAGCAAAGCCATTCTCAAAGCATTTTTGTCATTGGTGGTTACATTTACCCAACCGGTAATTGCAGCTACTTTTGGGACCTTTTCTGCGTGACAGTATCCATCCTGAAATTGAAATTATTTCACATTCGTTTGTATTAATAGAATATGTACTCGTATATTATAAAGAATACAAATTCTGAAATTTGAATTAGTACCTAAAATTCATAACATATGAATGAGATACTGCATTAAACTACAAGATGAAAAATACACATCGAGATATTATTTAAGTTTTTATAGGGAATCAACTGTTAACTGGTTTCCTTTGTATCTAACTCTACCCCCTCCTGAATAGTCAAAATATTAATATTAGGCTTGTTCGCGTTCATAAGAAAAACAGTCCGAAACCATCAGAAGCATGCGCAATTTCACAGAACAGTACGAATTTTACTAGTTCCGTGGAACTGCGCATGCTTCTGATGGTTTCAGACTGTTTATTTTTCGAACGCGAACAAACCTAATGAATACCAGATCGGAATTAATTACATAAAACAATGAATGTAGCTCTAGATATAGAGATTATTGTGGCGTGATTCAAACATTTATTCAAATTCTTAGAACGTGTCCATTTCAAGCGTTCGAAGTTTTTGAATTGTGATATTTTTTGTAATATAAAATGAGCTCCTTCAGAGACAAATTCTAAATACATAATTTTCTTTATACTTTTCAAATCAAGACTTACTTGACCCAAATATGGACCATAATCTGCCTCGGTTGGGATACCTCCATGTTTCATCATCCACTGGTATACCCTGAAGTCTTCACCACCATCACAACCATTGTTTCCATAACTGAAAAATAAAAGTTTTTAGTTGGAATAAAATTGAAGAACATTTACATTCTGGAAAAGAAGACTCAAGATGAAGTCATCTAGTAACAGGACAGATCATAAATCATATTTGCAAGTCTAGTCAAATGTCTTACCCCCATGTGCAGTCCATTAGCGCCTGCTCTGACAAACGTACTAGATTTCCACCATTTTTCAAAAATAAAGCACCTTCAATTGAGCCTACTGATCCAAATGACCAACATGAACCACATACTGACTGATCTGAAAAAAAAAACATGTATCCATATTTCACATTTTATAATGATTTTTTTCTTTTACCTTTTACTGGGGTGACTGCACCATATAATCGCCAATCGAACTGTTCGGGCATGGTCGCCGGGTCTATATTTTCATAAGGGAAAGGTTTTCCACCATTGTATACTCCACTGTACTGTTTTCCACGGAGAGCTTTCAATTCAGTGTCGGTCTTGTCAGCAAGGTGGTTGACAGTCAAAGTATAACCTAGAACCAATCAATCATTGATGTTAATTCAATTCCTGGAGAAGAAAAAAGTGACTGAAGTTCAATTGAACAATGCCCTCGTGATTTCATAATCATTGAGATAGGGACATAGGGTCTTCAAGTGTTCAGTTCTCGAGATACAGGGCGTTGTAGTTAAGAAATTAGAATAGGTTTTTCGCAATATCTCAAGAAAAATTGAATATAATGCATTCAAATTCGGTATATGGTTTCATCTTTCAATGGTCAATTTTTTGACCAGAAAGACTTTCCGAGAATTTTATCCAGAGGTGCGCTACAGAGGGTTGTGATAACTTTTCCTCCCATATTTTCTACGCCACTGATGAAATTTCGATTATTTCCAATTTCTTGAATTGATTGTTTAATTTTCTTGAAAAAATGCATCACCTTCAACTGAGCTAAAATGAACAGTTATCGAGATATTTGAGCCAAAACAGAAGTTTGCATAGTAGTAGAAAATTAATAACTGTTTCTATTCAGCTACAGAATGATATCTTAATAGTATCATCTACTCAACACCAGAAAGAAAATTTCTACTACTGAAAATGATGAAATATTTCTATGCAATCTTCTATTTTGTGTCGAATATCTCGAAAACTGTTTGTTTCAGCTCAGTTGAAGGTGATGATTTTTTTGAGCAAAATTGAACAAAGAACTCGAGGAATTGGAAATAATTGAAATTGAATCAGTGGCGTATAAAATATGGGAGGAAAAGTTGCCACAACCTCCTGTAGGGCACCACTGGATAAAATGTCCGGAATGGCTTCCTGGTCAAAAAATGACCCATTCGAAAATGAAACCATATACCGAAGTTGAATGCATTATATTCAATTTTTCCCTATCTCAGTGATTATGAAATCACGAGGGCTATCACCTGTCAAGCGTTGTCGGTCGAATTTCGCAACACCCTGTATACAATCTGGATATATACAATATATGTCAAACTAATAGGTAGATCTAGATACTAGGTTCTCTTTTTAAAATCCAAGATGATATTCTATTTACGATTTTTTTGTATTGCCCCAGAAGTTAATTCCATATCCCAAACGAGATTCCACCTGTGCATAGTAAAAGTTCATCAATTGTTCATGAGTTAAAATAGTCTTCAAATTGTATATCAAGTAATAGAATGAGTTAAGTTTAGATGTTAATGATTCACAGTGTGTTTTGAAATTCAAATTCTTGTCTAGTTCAATACCCAGAAATTTCACAGTATCGCTGGTTACAAGTTGTTTACTAGATAGTTCGATAATGAAATCCTCCCTGCTGTGACGTTGAGCTGTCTGAAATCTGACGATAGATGTTTTGTCTGGATTGAATGATAATTTATTCGACGAAAACCATCTCATCAAAGACTCCAATATAAATTCACATTCATTTTGTAGGATATTATTGGATTTGTTCGAAATAATCAATGGTATATCATCAGCATATAATGTGAAATGAATCCTAGGAAATATTGTACCAATTTCATTGATGTAGAGAAGAAATAGTATAGGGCCTGAGATAGAACCTTGTGGGACACCTACATTGACTTCTGAATTAGAAGATGATGCATTTTCTAATTTATTATGATTTTTATATTTTATGCTCACATATGCTTGCGATTTCTCAAGAAAGATGCTAACCAATCTAGAGGTATGCCCCTCAAACCGTAGGAATACAGTTTATCTAGTAGTTTTGCATGATCGACACAGTCAAAAGCCCGACTAAGATCACAAAAAATACCCGCCGGACTTTCGCCGGCCTCGATGAATTTCAATATTTCTGAATAGAAGGACTGTATAGCCGTGTTGGTAGACATACCGGGGCGAAAACCATGTTGTTGTTCACTTACAATTTTGAATTTTTTCAAAAACTTCTCTAATCTGTCAAGAAAAGCATATTCTAATATTTTGGAAAAGCTACTCGGGACAGTAATTGGTCAATAATTACTGAGCTGTCGAGTATCATTTTTTTTGTGAACTGGAATAATTTTTCCGATTTTCAGCATTTGCGGAAAGCGTCCCGTTTCGAATGACAAATTTACCAACTACGTGATCGGAAGAATAATATGAGGTAGTGATAACTTGATTAAAAAAATCGGAATTTCGTCGGGCCCAGCTGATTTTTAATTTTTGATTTTGTTGTTCAACAAGATTAGTAAATCCTCTGGAGAAAAGGGCTCCAAGTATAGTGAAGATTTATTGGGTGTGATGTTTTCTGTTGCTGAAGTAATCACAGGAGGAATTTTATTGATTAACTCGAGAGGCACTGAAATGAAAAAGTCGTTGAAAGTGATAGTACGACTTTATGTGTGGGACAAAGTAAATTCCCAAATACTTGATTCAATTTTTGAATTACAATTACAATTGTTCTTTTCTTTTCAATTAGGCTCATGAAATATCAGCGATTCTTTTTCAGGGAGGCTTTTTTTTGTAACCGAGAGCTCGCATTCGTTTCAATAGAATATTCTATTAGGTTTTCATTTACAACGACAATGGTTAAAGCACAGTATATTATCTTTTCTCCTGAAAGGATGATATACTGCGGTTAAAAGTAAGCAGATTTTTTGAATACCTAAAAACTGCTGGATAGATTTTCATTATATTATACTTTTTTCCAAAGATTTACTGTGTACGATGAAAAATGATGTTTAGGTAGTTACCTCTATTTTTCCTGTTGTGAGCGTGAATGAACCTTATATTTTGCATGAAAATGGATTTACGGAGAGTGTGTTCTTTGCTATTTCCATATTGCTTTCCGTGTTTCTGAATGAATTTGTTGAATTCGACGTCGACGTGGGTAGTCCTCTCTGGTCTAACGAATTCAGCCATTGGATTGAAAGTGTAGATGTGTTTGTCACCTGGTCCTGGGAATGAATGGCACGTCAAACCTGAAAATAATTGAAAAATATGCAGTGTGAGAGTGGGATTAGCACTTTTTCATTTCGATTTATAATGCAAATAATAATAATGAATTCCATAGTGTAACTCATGAAGGTGAGGTATGGAGTTAGTAACAGTGCCTACACATAACGCATATGGTCTCAAGGACGTTTCATGATGTCATTTGAAAGCGGGACATTTTTTTCTGAAATACAATTCAACTCGCTTTACAATTGAAAAATAAGTTGTTTGGAATCAGACGATAAATACATATTCTATGTGATTTTCTCTCATTCAAAATGGATCACACTATAATAGGTATTCATGGCCTCATATAAATGAACTAGTCGGTACAATGATAAATATACCATAAATTTCATATGAATTGCAGGACTGTATTGATATCAATTCACAATCGAAACTTTCTTTAGAGAATAATAATAATGATGTACTTATATTTTTTATGAATTAACACCCTTTTATTAGCTTCACCTGTATGTATGTATATATGTATGTAACCGACTCCTATGGACTCAATTTTGGCCCACTAAACGTACCGATTGATTCGAAATTTGGCAGGTGCAGATAGTTCGGGTGGCATCATGAAATTTTTGTTAGACAAAAGAACAAAATGGCGGACGAGTTTTGTAATTATGATCCGATTCTATTCAAAATTGGTATCTATGGGTTTTCGGGGTCGGACTGGTCGGAGATTATGATTCTTCCGTCAAAATTTGAAACTTCAAGATGGCGCATCCAATATGGCGAACGAGTTTTGTTATTCTGATCCGAATCTATTCAAAATTTGTATCTGCGGATTTTCGGGATCAGAAAATATGATTCTTTCGTCAAAATTTTAAAATTCAAGATGACGGATCCAATATGGCGGACAAGTTTTTTAATTATTATAATCCGATTCTACTCAAAATCTGTATTTGGGAGTTTTCGGGGTTGGAGATTATGATTCTTCCGTCAAAATTGGAAAATCCAAGATGGCGGATCCTATATGGTAGACGAGTTTTTTAATTGTGATCCGAATCTATTCAAAATTTGTATCAGGGGGTTTCCGGGATCGGAGATTGAGATTCATTCGTCCAAACTTGAAAATTCAAGATGGCATATCCAATATGGCGGACAAGTCTATTCGAAGTTCTTTCATCAAAATTGGGTGCTTACAAAAAATATAAGAACACTAAAAAACACGCTTTTGTAGTAAGCCGAACTCAATAATAGAAAAGAAATAGTAGTTTAAAAAACTGAGGAAACACCCTTTTATAGATAGACAAACTAAAAATAAGTAGATCATAAAATAATAAAAGTGTGTTGATAAATTCAGAACATATAAAATATAAGCATATCCTTTATTATTTCATTTTCAACTTCTTTCTAGTTTGGCTATCAATAAAAGGGTGTTTCTTCAGTTTTTTAAACTTATATTTATTATATTCTTAATTAGCTAGTGAACTTTCGTCTATAAAATAATTAGCAGTTGGTACTTACTTGAATCAACTTCAAATATATTTTCGGGAATATCATCGACCGCATAAGAATCATATTCCAAATAGTAGTGATCGTAGTGGCTTCCCAACAGAGTATTGTAACCTCTCATTTCATATCTGAAAGAGAATAATTCTGAATTCTAATGATAATTTAGGACCTGGTAGGTAGTTATTGGTTCCAACCATTTTCCTTTACACTTTAAAAACGCAATTTTTGAGGCTAGCGAGCGTTCTCGAATACCAATAGGATGATAGAATTTTGGGGTCGTGCAAACTTTGAAACCACGAATATCGGAAACGAAACTCCCACGCATATATAAACTGCTCAACACATGAAACGTAAAATAACATTTTTTTGATCAAATTTGAATCATCATAACTTTCGATTTCCTAAACCGATTGGATATGATATGACTATTTCATCTTTTCCGGATGAGATTATACAGGATGATAATCAAAGCTGTGCATTTTTCCAAAAATTTCAAACGCCTCCAGTTTGAAAGAAAAATGTTTCTATTATTTGTATATAAGAATAGGTTGATCATGCATCATTTCAAGATTTTTGACCACCGTTCGAACCAGATTGACAGGAACACAAAGCCAATAGAAATTATGCATTATCTTAATGAAACATTCATATTTCAGTAACGCGTGTGACAATTCTAAAAATCTTTCTACAGTATCGAGAAAACATTAGGACAGGAGAAATTCATACAGTCTACTCCACCAAAACGATACTTTAATGTAATATCAATTCAAAGGGGGGACATGTTTCGAAGCTTCAAAGCTTCATCATCAGCTTTAATAGTTACATAGGAGCACTGTTGTGGAGGAAAAAAGTTGTGTTTACATATTAATTATAACCAAAAAAAGTAGTGAAGAATAAATTACTGTTACATGGAAAAAGATTTTTTATGGCCGCAAACTGCGGAACACCTTTGTTAAGGTACGGTGAAGTGAAACATCATTGTAGTAAGTTTAACAATCCAAAAACTCTAAATTAAGTAATCATCTAAACATGCCGAAGGTTAGATCATCTAACCTTCGGCATGTTTAGATGATTACTTAATTTAGAGTTTTTGGATTGTTAAACTTACTACAATGATGTTTCACTTCACCGTACCTTAACAAAGGTGTTCCGCAGTTTGCGGCCATAAAAAATCTTTTTCCATGTAACAGTAATTTATTCTTCACTACTTTTTTTGGTTATAATTAATATGTAAACACAACTTTTTTCCTCCACAACAGTGCTCCTATGTAACTATTAAAGCTGATGATGAAGCTTTGAAGCTTCGAAACATGTCCCCCCTTTGAATTGATATTACATTAAAGTATCGTTTTGGTGGAGTAGACTGTATGAATTTCTCCTGTCCTATTGCCTACACTCCACTGTAAGATGGATCACCTCAGTTGGTTATCGAGAAAACGTATGAAGCAATATGTATTTGACCTCAAAGAATAATAGAAACATTTTTCTTTCAAACGGGAGGCGTTTGAAATTTTTGGAAAAATGCACAGCTTTGATTATCATCCTGTAGAATATTATCCGGAAAAGATGAAATATTCATATCCATAGGTTCGATAGTTAATGAAACGAGCTTACAGAAACCGAAAAATAATTCAAAATCGGTTGAGGAAATCGAAAGTTATGATGATTCAAATTCGATCGAAAAAATGCGATTTTACGTTTCATGTGTTGAGCAGTTTATATATTTATAGAAGATTTTCATCTTGAAAAGATGTCTCCTTCAAGCTGTTAAAGTCCTGCTACAAACAACTGACTCACCCTGTATATTATGAGGTTGGCTACAGAGGTGTCAATTGTCGAATGTGAATAAATTCGACGAAACTGCCAGAATTATTGTATTTCTATTAAAACTGTTGAATTGTTAATTATTATCGAAAATGAGAACTTCTTCGATATTTCGTTTTTCAAACTAATTATATTTGACATCGCCAAGAGACAGAAAATGCATTCGACAAATGGCACTCAACTTGACAGTAACTGCTACCAACACAAACTTGTTCCCCGTGGAAGATGGTCAATTGTTATTCCTTGAAGAAATGACTCATGATACCAACCAATAAATTCATTACAATTTACCTTAAGGGTACAGGAATCTTAGCAGCATTGTTGTTCGGATCAGGCTTGTACACCACCCACATCACGTATCTGTTTACTTTTTGGCCAATCACTTCAGTCAAATTCCATTTCTCGGTTTCGATACCATCGATCGTCTCTTGGCCCAAACAGGCGAAACCCTCCAATGATGGCAGGATCGATTGGGGCTTGATTGTGTCGTCTGCAGTCCCGTTCACCTGGAGACAAGTTTTCAAGTTTTGGTCCTCTTCGGTAGTAACGGGGGCAATTTTGAGACTGGTACCGTAGCCGTAAGGTTTGCTGAGTTGGTAGGTTTTGACCATATCGCCGTAATAGTCGATACGAGATCTTTGGGCCGGGCCATCGTACCTGTAAGGATCAATGAAAAATTGTTTTTCCCGCCTACCTCTATCCAAAGTATACATTTCCAGGCCTCATTGTAGGGAGCAAAGTCATACTTTTCCTCCCTAGGGGGAGAAAAGTACATTTTTCCACCACTAGCTATAAAACTTACCAATATTTACTCGTTTTCGAGGTGTAAGGTGTGCTTTTATTACCAAGGTAGTTTTCGTCATTTTATGAACCACTAGTCATTAATTAATTGTAATTTACCTGAATTCACTGTTCTAATGCGATATTCGCTGAAATGGCAATCGAATCTAGTAGGTATTTATCAATAACGACTTGCTGTCATGGTCATTACTACTAGATTTTAATAAGAATTGAAGAGAAGTGCTTTGACAGTGACAATACGTCCATATTTCAGTTTCGCAGAACTTCAATGATTGAAATGCATAGCTAGTGGTGAAAAAAATTCAATATAAACTTTGGTAGTGATAGTTTATTACGTAATATGTGTTGTAAGAAGCATATTACGCACGAATGGAAAAGAAATTGCTTCACAACACGCATTCCGTAGTATACTATACCTACTGCCATATAGTACAACAAAAAAGTTTGGACAAACAGTTTGAATTATAGTTCTTGACAGTTATGTCATCCGCTGTTGATGGCACGTTGATGGCGATTCCGCGATCATGACATACCTATACAGGTTAACTCACGGTCGATGGTATGTTAGAAGTTTATGGAGAACGGGACATAAGATCATTCTGAAATTTTGGTTACTCACGTAGTTGCTCTTGGTCTATCGATCTAAAATATTTTCAGCTCTGCAGCGTTGCCGCTTCTATCGAAAAGTAGCAACAACTTTGTTATTTTAAATGGAACACCCTGTATTTTATTGCATTTTCAGATTCTCTCTGAAGAGCTGATTTTATCGATGTAACACACTTGGGGTCTAGCGGAAATGATTACAGAGATATAGGGTGTGAAAAATCGTCATTTTTCAACTTGAGGAATTTTTTTTGTCGAAACTATTCATTATTGGTCAAAACGGCTTGCATGTCCCTATCTCAACTTTTGATTAACTATCTACTGATATTTAATTGGGACATATACCGGGTGATCAAGATTCTGAATTCTGCACGACCCTGTATTTGTTTCAATTAAATGTCAGTAGATAGTTGATCAAAAGTTGAGATAGGGACATGTTAGCCGTTTTGACCAATAATGAATAGTTTTGACAAAAAAAATTCCTAAAGTTGAAAAATGTCGACCTAAACTATATTCTGTTATACAGGTTTATTCACGTAAGTCGACCCGAGCTATTAGTATATAATTTGATATTTAGTGGGTGTGCATGTACAGGGTGAACGAAACTAAATGTCTTGGCTACAATAAGCAACGGGGAAACAATCGATAGGAAAATCTGAAACGAGCGTTCTTGAATGAGATTGAGTACTTAATAATGTTCGATATAAGCAGAATTTGCAAGTTTTTACTCATTTGGAAATGGAAGTGATGATAGTAACTTTTTTTTTGCATATTTGAAGAGATTTTCTCTTTCGTTGAAATATATTGGAATTTGTTGTACGAGTAAGACAATTGAAGGAGCTACTGTATTAGGAAAACATGCAATATGTTTTTCAGAATAGATTGATTTTTTTTTCACTATGGATTACCATTAAGTAACGGCTGATCCAATACGAAAATAGTTATTTATTATACAAGGGAAAAAAGTAGGGTGATCCTTTAGAGATATGGCAGATTTTTTACTTCAAGATATCACTATATGGGCCAACTTCCTTGATGAACTATCGCTAATGAGGGAGATATCGAAGGTATAATTGTATAATTCATTTTTCGTAATTCCTTCGAAGTTTTATTTGAACATGGATACATGATAGTTTCGAAATTATGGGTTTTTGGGCATGAGGAATCATAATTCGCTCTACTTCAATGTATTTTGATTAATTAACTTCAGAATAAGTTTTTTTTTTCAAGATTCATCTCAATTCTACTACCAGAATATGATTTTTCAGACAGAATTGAAATAAATCTGAATAACAAATCATGGGACATTTTTAATAGCATAGGTTACGAGTTTCGCATCTCCCTGTACTAGCACGAAACGATTTCTGAGATCAAATCACCTCTAGGCACCTAATTTTGTGTTTTTAGAATCAATGATAACGAAGATAATTGAATAAAACTGCATTATTCATGCCCAATTTGGAAGTATGAAAATATCATCATCATTACTTAGTTGAATCAAAATATGGGAGGAACAATAAAAAGAGTAAATTGAAAAATATGTACCCTATTAAGAAGAAGTACTAGTTTCATTACGCAGCAGACAATGAAAACTAATTTATCTGGAAAATGGTGTGAAGTTCAATCGAAATACTAAACAAGAGTATATAATTTTTAGGTAAAAATTATGATATTTTCATATTTTCTGGTCAAACTGCCGAAAATTGCATAGAAAAAAAGTTAAGGGAAGAAATGCCCAAAGCTCCACCTGTAGCGTTTACTAAACCTACCTGGTATAGATAAACGTCTGAGTTGAGAACAGAGAATGAACGCACCCCAGGAAAGTATAAATGTTGTATTTTAAATAAAATGTTACAGAAACATGAAAGGTAATCAAAAAATATTATGACACTGACTACTATCACATACAATGTGTTGTTATTTCTTGAAAACAAAAATAAGAAAAACAGTTTCCTTGATATTCACAAATATTCGAATACACACAATTTCTAACATTTCTCCCACCTTGAGGCATTGCCTTCGAATTAGAATGACTCAATTTCTTTCCACTACAAATTCAATCTGGAAGGGGGCTTGATTTTTCTTCCACTTCTTGTGGTTACGTCGTCTTCTGTTGAATGGTTTTCCTGTTTGGGAATGTCGATTTTCATTCTTGAATGGTATACGTTTTCATCTCCTCGATCCATTTCTAAAGCATGCAATCTTTGAATCGGCCTGATGATGTATCCAGCCATTGTTTTCAATCTAGCTACCCTTGACTCGCCATCTTTCCCAATTAGTAGATCTTCAATTCTCGCTAATGGCCAGTCAATTCTTTTTGTGAAATCATCTGCAACCAAAACAACATCTCCAATTTGCGGCTTCTTGCTAGGATTCTCAAATTTTCTTAAAACCAATTGTCCAAGATATTCTGTACGAAAACGCCTTCTTAGATCCTCTTTGAGTTTGTTCCTATATCTACATCTTCTCCTTAAATCATGAGATTCTATTCGATCTAGATCTGGAACACCAACTTGTTTAATGTCTTGGAGAAACATGGCTGGAGTTAGAGTAGCCATATCTGTTTGGTCTTCAGATACATATGTGAGAGGTCGTGAGTTTACTACGGCTTCGCAGTCACATAAAATCGATGCCAACTCTTCATATCTGAGACTGGCTCTGCCACATACTTTCCTTAGTAATTGTTTTATAAGACGAATCAATCGTTCCCACCATCCACCCCACCATGGAGCTGTAGGAACGTTCAATTTCCAGATGATTTTCTGAATTCTGTGGACCTTCTCAACTTCTGCCCAATCCAAGGACTCTAAGGCATTTTTTGCACCGATGAAATTACCTCCATTATCCGAATACACTATTGAAGGTCGTCCTCTTCTTGCAATGAATCTTCGAAACGCTTGAAGAAAACTGTCGGTTGTTAGAGAAGATACCAGTTCCAAATGTACAGCTCTATAAACTGCACATGTAAATATGCATACCCATACTTTATCTTGATTTCGGAGAAAAAGATGACCGAATAAATCAATACCAACTATTTCAAATACTGCCGCTTCCTTCACACGATTTTTGGGTAGTGCAACTGGTACTGATTCATAGTTCTTTGAATCAAATCTGCGACATACTGCACATCTTGAAATTACAGATTTTATCGATTTTCTACCACCCAGTATCCAAAACTTTTCCCTCAAAATTGAAAGAAGGCCCTGTACCCCAACATGACAGGAGCGAATATGGACGTCATGAATTAATCGAATTACTATAGGGTGTTTCGCAGGTAACACCACTGGATAACGAAATTCTTTCGAATCTTCTCTCTCAGTTATCTTGGTTTTGAGTCGTAAGATACCATCCTCATCTTTGAAAGGTAGAAGAGATGACATCTTATCTATGCCATCATTGAAGGCCTCTTGCTGAATACATTTTATCGAAAAATATTTCGGCATCCTCTTGCTCCAAAACGGATAATTCACCTCTCCTTTTATTCGTAGGATGGGTACTATTGAAAATGAATCTCTTGATCCATCCTATGAGATTGACAATCTTCTGAAATTTAGAAAAATAACGATGAATCCAAGAGAAATTCTTTTTCGGATAGGTTATCAAGGATATTTCATTCTTCCGCTTTTCTTCACCGACTAACTCTTCGTTGATTTGGTATTCTTGCTTTGGCCAAAAACTTTCCTCCTTGTACAACCATGCTGGTCCCTCCCACCATCTGGATTCCATCAATCGTGTTGCTGAACATCCTCTCGAAGGCAAATCAGCAGGATTATCAGATCCTGGGACATGGAACCAACAATCTTGTTTGGACAATCTTCGAATTTCTTGAATTCGATTCCATACAAAGGGCTTCCATCTTTCTCCTCCCTTAATCCAAGACAATACCGTTGTGGAATCAGACCAAAAATAAGTTGCAAAATCTTCTTCTAAGGATTCTTTGATAGATTCCCATAATCTAACTCCTATTGACGCAGCCAGTAGCTCCAGTCTAGGTATTGAAATATTCTTAATTGGATATACTCTAGATTTAGCTTGTATTAACTGGACAGTGACACCGCTATCTGATTTAGCTCTCAAGAATATCACTGCAGCATAAGCAAGCTGACTTGCATCCGTGAAAACATGGAGACTGATCCCTCTTGATGCTCTATCGGAATTGTTCATGAGCCATCTGGGAATTTTCAAATTGGTAAGGATGTTTAATTCACTCAACCAGGATAAAAAGCGTTTTTTAATATCCTCCTGGACATCTT